TTCTTGCGCTGGACCCGTTTGTTATGTGAGTTTCTCTCAGTTTGACGGGTGGATAGACGACTAGTAAGACTGCTATGAGAAAGAGCACTGCAACCATGGTAAAGTTTATAGAAATAAACTAAACGTGGAAATTTTCTCCGCGAGGATAATGGTGGTCAATTTAACTGACTTGAAAGGATAGTAGAAGAGGATACATAGTCTCGTAGTATGATTCTACATGCTAGATTCTGTACTTTGTCTAATACAGATAAGTGAGTGCAATAGGATGAGTTATAAATGATAGAACCATACTCCAAAGCTGGGCGAACACAAGTTTTATACAAGTGAAGACGTAACGAAGGTGGAGCATCCCTAAACACACGAGAAACAGATTCCAACATCATTGTACAATTAGATGCAATATGTTCTAAGTGGCGTTTCCAAGTCAGGTCATGAACAAGTCTCATGCCAAGTAATTTTATGGCAGTTGAGCGTTCAATTTTTATATCGTTAATAATAAGTGACATAGATGGATAGGCATTAGGTAAACTAGAAAAGATTATCCACTCGCATTTTTTTATATTGTGACCAACGAAGTTAGTGTCACACCAGCAAATTACCCCGTCAATACAAGATTGAGCCTCATCCAGATTGCAGAGTAGAAATAGGTCGTCAGCAAAAAGGGATGTTAATAGCGGAGAAGCTAACGATTGTGGTAAGTCATTTATAAATATGAGGTAAAGTAATGGGCCAAGGATTGACCTTTGAGGAATTTTGGAACTAATAGAAACAGAAAGAGAAGCGACCTCACTTACTACAACTTTTTGTGTCCTTCCTGTAAGATAAGATTTGAACCAGTCGAAAAGAGAACCAGAGATGCCGGCGGATGAGAGTTTCCTTAGTAAAATATGATGAGGCATGCGATTAAACGCTTTCTCAAAATCGAACCCAATCCCAACAATTTTGCGTCGGTTATTCAGATGCTGATAAATATTGTGAGTAATTAAGAGTAGAGGGTCGATTGTAGAGCAATTAGGTTGGGAACCAAACTGACTAGACGAGAAAAAGTTAGTAGATGTCAAGAACGAAAGCAGGTGCTTATGAATTAATTTTTCAAGAATTTTACTGACATTAGAAAAAAAGTACTGCATGCAGTACAAAACATACTGACATTGGAAACTCGTACTTAGAAATCCGTGTACTCTCCCATCTCTGTCGTATTTCTGTAGCTTTGAGCTTACAATGAACATTTAGCGCTTTTCTTGTAAATTCTATAACTTTATAAAGAAAGGGCGTGTAGAGCTGGGGGATGTCTCATTTTAATCAGAAATTTGCAGGCAACAATTATGCCTCATTAAGACAGATTTTGGTTATTTTTTAGAGTTTCTGAAAAACTGGTTTTCCAGAAAATCGGATCTTCAAGAGTCATAGGGAAAAATCCTTTTAGGCTTTTTACTAGCTCGGTATCCTCTATCGATTGACGTATGAACGAACGAAATCGGAAGATATCACTTAGATGTCCTCATAAGATTACTAATTACTAACGGTTCTAAAATATAACGCCTCTGGATATTTTTAGAATAACTTACGATAGAAAAAAGATAGAAACTTGCGGCTTCCACCATTATGTAGCCAAGACTTTAAGACATAAGGATAAGAAAAATTTCAGACCCAGACACCATCTGCAGATGGTGTATCACATTGATCTGTGAAATATAAGGCTGCTAGGGTACCAAAAAAGGGTGATTTTTAAATGTAGAGTAATGGATTCGATCCTCTTTAACATCCTCTACAATTCTACACAAGTCCCAAATCTCTGGTTTTTATGGTTCAAGAGCTATATGCATTCCCCAACGACCAGACTATCTCGTACTAGACATGTCCAGCAATCTCAAAAGTACATGTTATATAGACAACCAAATGCACTGATCATCGCGGCAATATTTATTTTCTTTCTCAGATCACAGAAAGTTCAGCTGAGTCAAAGTCTACTTTTTCCCCTATGTCCATGTACAGTTAGAATATTCATAACAAGACATGGATTATACAAAATAAACAAACTTATGCATCTCGATTAAATACACTTATAAGTTACTACATCCTGTCAAACAATTAAGCACAACCATTGATTGATATCACAGCAGGACTACTGGCAGAGACATTAGCAGCATCCTGACGACGTTTTATTTCTTGTTTGATGTAATATTGTTGAACATGATGCGGTAAACCAGGATTGAGATTGAGTATATACGGTAAGATCACTTCAGGTAAATCATCAAAATCTACAATCACTTTAATAAACATGGTATCGTCTCGGACATAATTATTATTGTCCTGTTGAACCATTGGCAATGAAAAGAATTTTGGTATGCCAAATGCAACATTCATTTCAGATCGTGGACGTTGAAAACTGTTTGATCTTGTGTCAGGACGACATGAATCAATGACATGTCGATTTTGGCCTGATTGATCCAATAAACAAAATGTAATCTTATGATTAAATGGCCATTTGAGAATACAATCGTAGGTACCTTCCATTAGCACAAAATAGAGCGACATATGCGTTCTTCTCGCATTCCCATCACCGTGTAAATACAATCGCACTCGCATCTTGTAACCAGTTGGTGAAGAATAGAAAGGTAAAGACAAATAGATGTTTGTCTTTCCGATTGGGCATCTGCTATTTTATCTGCGACATTGGTTATTTTCCATGTAAAAGTGCCGTCATATGAAACAAATTCAGTTTGTTCTAAGTTTCGCTCCATTCTTGACAACTGTTGCTGTAAGATTTGTTGATTTGGTGCCACTTCCTTATAAACCTGTGTCTTTCTCGTTAATCGATAGTTTAAGTTGATTCAATTCACTTTGCATTAAATTATTTAAGTGTAAGAATGAAAGTCAATCTCTTTGTATCATCTGATAGTATTTGAACGACTTGTACCAAAATGATTCTCTTTTGTATTACTTCAGGATGAAACGTATGTAACATTTTCTTTTTGTTTCTTTTACACCCACGTACTATGTGTGGCCCTGGGTATTACATTGTCAAACGGTTAATAGCTCGCAGAATGTTTTATACTCGTTATTCAGCGTCATTAAATATCGAATATCAGCAGTATCTAAGGGTAACGACGCTATGCCTAATTTCATTTTTTATGTAAGAGGGCAATGAACTTCTTTATTTCTTTTCTTTTTTTCTATTTACTTAGTAGAATATCACACAAAGAAATAAAAAAGTTGTTTGCTGTTTACTCAAATAAACAATGACATTAGACATAGATGCATAAATTATTATATTGATTTAATATCAAATAGCTTTGTAAAAAAGAAAAAATATTGAATTACTTTATACGTGAATTAATTAGCACGTAATCATAGATATACTATATATGATAAATCATGTTTTTGTAGATACATATATATGTTACAGGGAATGTAGGAAATCAAGCAATATATACATTCCCCAGCGACTGTTCACATTTGAGTATATAACATCGAAATTTCTCTTGGAATATAATAAATTCATGAATGAATCCACGAAATGTACAGATTCCCTACAAATGTCAGGGAATGTATAGATTCTCTAGGAATCATTTTGAGATTGTCGAATTAAAAACAAACCTACGTCAAATCAAAGTAAAACCTAATATATATAATTAAAAAGTTTAGTGTAGTATACATTTTTATTGTTTTGTTATACCAACTAAACATAGTGTCAACGAAACAATACCTCCCCTCTCTTTATAATTATCATCATAGTTTACATGACCGCTTTTATTCACATCATAACTATACTTGCTTAATTTATTTACAATTTGAATATTTACAGTACCAACGAGTAACGCTAAATACCACATAATATAAACGTATATAGAATTCTTCACCTAATACTTTGCTGCTTTGTCAGTACTAACCTTTTCTCCTCTGTTTTTTCATAAGCTTTCGAATATAATATCAGTAAAAAGTAATAGAATCGATGGTAAGATATTTTAAGACAACGAAACGATTATTATGATCTAAGAACGGTATCAAGTTAGACTTCAAACTGCTGATCACTTTACACGAAAGAACATGAGAGATGAATTGAGAGACGCTGTTCAACACAAAAGACATTTCGACTGACCTTCATATGTTGTTGTCCTTTTGAACAGATGGATTTGATCTCGTTTTTCTAAAATACAATTGAAAAAACAAACAACAATAGTTTACATAAAAAAATGTTTAGTTTTTAAATAAATTCATATTTAAAGAGATTAATGATCAATTTGTACATTTGAATAATTATATGAAGGAATAGACAATTGTTTGCAACTTAATGTCCAATTCGAAAAGCTCAATAAGTAATTTAATTTACTCGTTTCTCAAATAAAATATTTAATAATTGTTTTAATTTGAACAAATGAATTTATTACGCGTTTTAATGGTTAAAAATCAATTCATGTCTGTTGTAATTAATATATAATCTATGAAAAGTAAAATTCATACGAAGAATCAGATAACTCACATGAAGATATTCAAATGATGAAGTTGGCGCTGTATAATTCTATTCTATTTGTGTTCAATACACTCACATAAGTATGGTCTCTAAACAATTTAATTGTTTACATGAAACGTATCCCACCTATTCAGAAAATATTCAAACAGTACGTGCAGCTATAACTGAAAAAATAATTCATTCATCCTATGAAATTCCAAATCCATTTGAAAAACGTCAATTTGCATTCAATGTTTTATCAGAAGAAAAAAATCCGATGAGTCGTGCTCATAAATGTACCCATATCATGCCAACATTAGCTGCACGTATGCAACAATTATTAACAACACAATTATGGGAATCCATCATGTTAGGTATATCGTTGTGGACATTTATTCCATTGTTAGTAGTTAATATAATGCCCAATCCTTTTCCATCATTGAAAACATTTTTTGAATTAAGTATGGAAGTACCGCGAGCATCATTATTCATTGAAATATGCTGTAAATTCATAGCTGGAAGTCGTTGGTTCTTCTATGATATATGGAATTTATTTGATTTAATGTGTGTTATACTAAATTCACCGGTAAGTATGTAAATTATTAGAAAACTCAAATGTTTATCCTATTTTCTCTAGTTTTTATTTACATTTTTGTTACCAAAACAATTTAGTTATCCACAAATGAATAGTATATTACGATTGTTTCGTATATTACACGCTGTACGTTTAATTCGAGTACATCGTCTATTACGTTTTGTATTTGAAACAACGATGGTAGCTATTGGTAGTATAACAAATACACTATTATTAGAAACTGTTACTGTTACCGTATTTGGTCTATTAAGTGTGGCATTTCGAAATGATACACCATTTTGGGATAAAGCTAAACAATCAGAAGCATTTGCCAATTATACACAAGCTGTATACTCATATTATATGTGCATAACAATGGTAAAAGAGATCAAGTTTAAAAGTTTATTTGATGATTTTGACTTGCCCATTGTTTTTTTTTTTAGGAAGGTGTAAATGAAGTAGCCAGTGAAATTTTGTTATTTGATACACCAAGTAACACAACAATAATTGGTTTACTATTTTATTGTTTTGCTGCATTGTGTACATACGCTATCGGTCAGTTAATTGCAGGTACTCTTTAAAAATAAATACATTCGTTCATTCATTATTTCATGAATATTTCTTTTTCTTTTAGCTGTTATTGCTACAACACTTGATAAAGCTATGGAACAATGGGTAAAAAATACAAAACAAAAACAAAAAACAAATAATTTAATTGAGTTACAAAGTACAAATTACCAACATCGTTCAATAGTGGCAGCAAGATGTAATCCTTTTGATGAATCTCTTAATTTTTCAAAACTGAAACCCGATGATTTATCATTATTATGCATTTTATTTCAATCGATTAACTCAAATTTAAATGAATATGACAACATTTTAGAAGATATTAAACGTATTGGAGAATATATAGCAAAATATAATAAAAAAAAATTAATTATTGATCCATTACAAGATAATCAAATACTGTTACAACGACGACGACTAGAAACAATTATTAGTACATTAGGTAAGCCAGTATAATACTAAAGTATAGATAAATAAATAAAGTTATTTCGATTAATGATACATGCGATCTCATATCTAATTGAGAAATGATATATAGAAATAATGTATCTTCATTAACAAGAATTCAATATATTCACCTATATATAACAATAGAGATGAATTATAAGAGTCAAATTTGTTTTGTTTGTGTTTAGCGAAAGTAATGAGAAACGTGAAAACGGGTGATCTTCTCTCAGCATTAGGTGAATTTTTATTGATTGATACAAGAAAACACGTCCGACGTACAGATATAGAAACAAAATTAAAAGCTGTTGAACAAAAATTTGCCAAAGTACGAACTCTTTTATCAAAATTACCAGTCGGATTAGAACAACAAGAACGAGATTTAATTATGGCCAATAGATTGAAAAGAAAAATTTATCGAAAAACAAAAGATTAAAACAATAGAATTGTCTTCTGATACTATCTCAACTGAATCTTGACTCTTAAACTATCGACAGACAATTGTATGAGATTTTCGAGTATTTTTTCTTTTTTACAAAGCTATTTGATATTTAAATCAATATAATATTTCAATATAATCTATCAATATAATATTATTTAAGCAAGCAATAAACAACTTCTTTATTTCTTTTTATGATATTTCTCGCTCAAATGCGTGTACTATTTACAATCGAATGTCATTTATTACGCTAACAACATTCGAAACCAACTTCGCTTTGGGCCAAAAAAGTAATAGATGTAAAAAGAAACAAAAAAAATACCTCTGATTGATACATAAATCATGTTGGCACAAGTCGTTCAAATACTATCAGACGATACAAACAGTTTGACTTTCATCCTTATACTTAAATAATTTAATACAGAGTGAATTGAATCAACTTAAACTATCGATTAACGAGAAAGATACATGTTTATAAGGAAGTAGCACCAAATCAACAAATCTTACATCAACAATTGTCAAGTGTAATAACTTATAAGTGTATTTAATAGAGATGTATAAAAGTTTCTTCATTTTGTATATTATTTTATTACTATACATGCGTAGGTGGTATGATCAGTTTTCATGCATTGTTTCGTGGCCGTTAATGTATTTATGCTAGTGTCAGTATCCGATTGTAAAGATAGAAATGATAGAATCCATTGCATTTTGTAACAGACATTATATGATCAACAATCTTATTTTGACTATGCCTTACGACTCAATGTTATTTATTTTTATTAAGCAAGATAGAGTTTATTATGTCGCCAGACATTTAATGTCTGGACAAAAACTCTTGCTGGAACTTTTTTTTCTTGTTTAGTCATGCGTTACTCACTTTGTATATATATATACGGCCATGATTCATCATATATGAGTAAATGGCATAGCCATAGCTAATAGCAAAAAATAACTTTCTTACAATAAGATGTTCAGAGAGTTATGTTGAGTTTTCCTATACCAGATGTTAAATGGGAAACCTTTTTTCCGACACCTTATAATGAAAACAGCGAAAAAATGTGTTTTCGGTGCTACACTCAGCTGATTCCCCAAGGCGACTATGGAAAAACCCAGTTATACTTGAGATAAATAATAAGTATTATATATGGATCGATAGATCTTGATGCGCTAAATCCAATGATGCTACTCCCAAAACTTTATCATGTGGATTTTTCATTGGAAATGTCGCAAACGAAGATTTTACGAAGTGAGTAACATAGCAAAGATCAACTTTTTTCTAATTGAAATATTTCCTGTCTGGAATCAAATGATGTGAGATTGTAGAGAAAGATGTGGTCTACAAAATGGAAACGGAATATTATTCTTGAAAAACTAAATATATTGGAAAAAATCCGTTTTCTCTCAGTAGGTGGTGTAAAGGCCAACCAACGTCCAAATGCAAGTTATATCTAGTAAACTATAGGAAATAAAAGATTGACTTCTAGCACGGTAGTAGGCCTAGTGTAGATAAACAAAACAAAAAAGAAATTTTAAAATTGCTTCACAGCAAAAGAAATTATCTTCGTTTTACACGTAGAAAGTGAACGGTACAAGGGCTATGCCATTCACTCATATACTATATCTGTGATTACGTGCTAATTAATTCAATCAGGATATATTGGATATTTTTTAAAAGTTTATCATTTTTCTGCACTACTACACCATAATTAAGTAAAATACTGGACATTTTTTTCAAAAGGTTCGTCAACAATACCGAGAAAATCAATTCGTGTTTATCGAGAATCTGTACGACCGATAATAAGTGAGAAAAAACGGAGGCAAAAAATGGGTCTAAGAGGTGTAAGAAAGAACGAAGAGTTTTAGTAGGCAACGGGGCTAGTGAAAAGCAATAAGTTATGTAATCAACTTTTTTTTCCTGTTTTTAGATGTTTCTCTGGCATTTCGGATATCTAGTTTAACTGAACAAGCAAATTTTTCGAGAAAATAAACTGTATGCAAGCTGATGAAATTGAACTGAATAGACACATATCCAGCCTGTTTCCAATAGAAAAAAATCATTTACAAGACAATCAATATATATTTACGAAAAGAAAAAAATGTAAAAATGCTTGGAAATATCACTGGAAACATATCGCAAATGATAAGTAAAAAACGATATAAGATAAAAAAAACTGTCATTTGGTGAAAGTAAGAAAATAGTGACTAAATATACATTGTAGCAGTACGCCTTTATTTTATATCTTACGCGCGAGATCTCTAGTATCAAACAATATCAACTTATTCTCTTTTTTGTTTTGATTTAAATTGTTGCGTGCTAAAATGAACATAAGACAAAGAAAAAAGTTTTATGATAACATAATTTGTTTCGACAGACAAAACAACAAAATTATATATATAAGACGATAGTTTAGGAATTGATGAGTGGTTCATCTTCGTCATCGTCAAGTAAATGTTCAACCGTGTAGACTTGTATATTTGATTCACGATGTCGAATAATTTTATATAGACAGCCAAAAAGAAATACCTAAAAGGAGAAATAGATGGAATAGTATGTGAATTATCAAATGTGTTGTATTTTCCTCACAGCAAGATATAACCATGATATAATGAAATACGCAGCTCCAAATATCCACACTTTGTACAAAAATCGAAGTAATATTTGTCCCATTACAGTCATTGTACAATCGTCTAAATAAAAACGTATTTTGTCGTGAAAATTATTGAGGATAAGTGACTCCAATGTAAAACGTTAGACAATCTCTGCTTACTTGTATCAAGATATTGTGTACAAGGTTTAACAGTATTAGTTCCATTCTAAAATAAGAAAAATTAATAATAGTCATTTGAAATCTATATTTATCTGTTATTACAAAATTCATTGTCGAATATTGTTGATCTCCGTATATCGTATACTGTGGCATAAGAAGATAAACAAATATATTTATGGCAACCACAATAAACATTAATAATGAACATAGTATAACTAATGCTTGAGGTTTTGTTCGACCACGTGAAAAACGAAACATCTAAAAATAAAAATATCTTTAAATAGAAAATAGAATAATAGATAATGAATCTGATTTACTTTGACGCAAAAATAATAGATGCCTATTTGTTGTAGACCATATAATGATGATAGTATGATGTAAATTAATACACATGACAGAACAATATAATTAGCAGGATAGAACTAGAAAGAAAGAATACATTGACATACAGATATGTAAAGTTATCAATAGTATATTGACTTATACATAAATACATTTTATTTCCTTTGAACAGTTACCTTTCCTGTCCATGTAACGACAATATCCAATGGATTTGGTAATGTATGATTGCCTTGTGCAAATATTTGTTTAAAATCAACAAAATGAATTGATTTATCAATGCTAGATAATGAAATTAAAATTGAGATAAAATAAATTCTAACTAAACATTATTTATACACCTACTTGCTCAGTAATAATGATAAAAATATTAAAAGAGCAACACAAAGTAAAATAATACCAATAATAATTTGAAATGGTCTATAAATGTGACGACATTTAAATAAAATGCTTGAACGAACACTACGTATCGATTCTTCATTACGGCAAAGCACAGATTCTTGTTGTTCTAAAAAATACATTTGACCTTTAACTCGAAATAATCAAAGAGATTGTTGTAAAATTATAAATGACAAAGTTTTATTCTACTATGTAAAAGATGACTGGCTTCTCACTATTTTACATTTAGTTTACAACCTTTTTCGTCGTTGTATACTCTAATCGGTGCTGCAAAGTTTTAGTGGTCTGTAGAACATTGTTAGACATACCTAATTCATCTAGCATACGTTTTTCACGAGCAGGCATTGACACATATCGAGGATACTAAATCAAACGAACAAAAGAAAAGAATGTAGACAAGAGAGAAAGAAAACATTGTAGATATTTTTTACTCGATTTTTCAGGTTATTTATTTGATTTTTAATATCTGTGTGTTGTTGTTCTATTTCTGTTTGTTGTAATTTAGCACTTCGTCGTCCTCTGATAAATGAAATTGGCAAACCAATCGATCCATATCCCTAATTGAAATTTACAATGAGAAACGCATTAAACATCATATACAATGTTAAGATATCTCATTTACCGTATAAATAGAAGAGAGAATGAAGCCAACTAACGATAGCGAAAATATAACAAAACATATTGAATCTTCAACCCCTACATTGAAAAAAATATTAATAATTAAATATGTTAGTGTGTGTATGTAAAACGGTATCTCACTTGAACTATCAAAATGATCGATTAAATATTTAAAACGATCCCATTCGGTTGAATTTGACGATGGTAGTTTACTTAGTTGAGGAACAAATGCACTAAGAAAATAAATTTAAAATTTCAAGTCTCTTTCATTTAATGAAACATTTGATCCACTTAAAGATCGCAAACGATGAAAATTTCATGTCTAGTGTTCATCTTACCCAACTAGTATTAATAGCAAAACAAAAAATAAAAAGCCAGCTGTATATTTCATTGCTGAACAAAGATGCTAAATAAAAGAAGAGAGAATAACCAATCAAACAGAGATGACAAAAAAGTTTATAATATCTTACAGTTGAAAGTTTTTCATCTTCTTCTTTTTCTTCATAATAAAAATACATAAATGGATTCAGAAAAAATGCCAATACAATAACAAGTCCGTAAAGCACTAAATCAACAAAGAAATTTTGCAACAATTGTTCTACTATGATGGTGTCAAAATCTTACCATAATAGCCAATTCGAACATATTCTTGGAGATGCTCACGTTCAGTTTGATTTTGTGCCCAATCCTAGAGTAATATGATTTAACCAAGATAATTTTTTTCCTTTTTTTTGCCCATCAAACTTACTTTATAGGTTCCATTTTGATATTTCATAAAGGACACTAGTGTAATGTCCGTTGGTAGCAGCGCGGCGGTTAGCAATGCAAGAGACAAAGATATTGTTGAAACACATGTAACCAAATAGTCTCGACGACGTTTCTGTTGGTAACGTAGTGTGAATGCACCAGACAAAAAGAAAATAAACTAAACAAAACAAAAATCAACAACAAGAAATAAAATATACATATACATACCAAAGCAACGATGGCGAATGGAAGCCAACCACCTAGGGCTGCTAGAGTCGACATGATTCACAAAAATTAAATTATCTAAAAATATAATTTTTAAGTTCTAAATAAAAGGTTTTCTAATGACGGGATGTAACGACACGCTTTAGTCTATCAGTTAGAAAACTAAAAAGGGAAAATCTCGGAAAAAATTGTAAGACCGTTTTCAGATATATGAGTGCAATGAGAAGGATTTTTGATGATCAGATTCTTTTGCGAACTTATTGTTTTACAAATTGTGATGTGCGACTTCAATAGAGAAGAGAAGGCAATTGAAATTACTGGTAACCGGTTAGATACAGGCAGATATCACGACAAACTTTCTCTATTATTACTTTTGTCGAAGAAAAACGGAAGTATATTGAACCAACGACAGAAATTCTTTATTTACAAGAAAAAGATGAATTTCCATTCTGAGGAACTAAGCGATTGTGAACATTCAACGGTTTTTTTCAGATAGACCATGGATAAAATCGTTAATGATCTGTTCACTTAATTTTCAAAGTCTGTCTCTCAACATAACATCTTAAGAGACAAAGGCATCTTGATAATTATGTTGTAGTTACATATCTGCTTAGAAGATTTACTTAATCTGGATATTCATAAAAGACCACAAAATATATCACACATGTTCAAAAAGTAATCAACGTAATATGTAATTGTTGGCGAGACAGGTTGAATTAGTAGAATTATAAACAGAAAAATTATCTTTTGTTTTGGAGGTCGCCATAATATACATATACATGTACACATATAGAATAGACTATTATTCACGATTGAGACAGAGATGGATCAACAAAATCAATAAGAAGAAAAAAAACGAAATTTAGATCATCAATTTGTTCAAACAACTATATAAGAAGAGAAAGAGAGATGTTCATTTACCGTTCTGTTAACAAGAGACAGCATAGTTTAGATTAAAGTAAAAATTTCATAATAATGGTACGTAACAACAACCGCATAATAGATTCTGCACGCCATTTTCCATTCTAGTTCTTTATTCACTTGAGTATTCTACTAATAAGCATAAGTTATGTATCGTTATCAACAGTTAATTGTCCAGTTGAAGCTGATCCGGCAACAATTTTAAGTTGTGTGGCTATTGACGCAGTGGGATTGGTTGAAGCTACCAAAGGAAACATTAAAGTATTTTGTGCAATGGCAGAAAGATTTATGGAATGCGTTAAAACAAAAACAAGAGGATGCGTTGGAGAGGAGGTAAGACATCTTATCGTGATATTATCGTACCATCATCTATTTTCTCTTCCAACAGTTCGTACGTGGTTCATTGTCGGAATTAATTGAATTATCACAAAAATGTTGTGTAAATACAAACGAAAAACCAAGTGAAGAATGTCCATTTAATGGTGCGTATATGAGTGAGGAATCGATATTTTTCTTTAAATTAATTTATTGTTTCATTTTATAATAAGCTAAACCAAATTGTTTTTCAACAAATGATGTTGCTTTATCGACGGATGGACACGAAATTCCAATTGGTGATTTGAAACTAGGCGATACAGTGCTTGCTATTGATCAGAATCAAAATATTATATCATCGGATGTTGTTGCAATCTTACATTACGAAAATAACAGTCAAGGTATATTTCATTTGGTAAACTTTTTGCGTGTTATCAACGTGGCTTTGAAGAAATGAAAGAAAAAAGAAGATCCCAAAAGGGCTATAAATCTCTCTGTTTATCTGTTTTTAGTATTATTTTATACTATCACGACTGAATTTGGTTCTCAACTCTCTGTCACATCTGAACATTTGATATTTATTGGTAATGATCGTTATATTCAGGCGAAAGATCTAACACTGAATAACACTTTATATGTTGTCCATAATACTGTATTACGTGAAGAGAAAATCGAATCAATAAATTATAAAATAAAACGTGGCTATTCGACTCCCGTAACAAGTGCTGGAACAATAATTGTAAATAAAATTGGTTCATCATGTTATTCAACAGTTTATAGTCATCGATTAGCTCACTATGTTTTGGCACCATTAAGATGGTTATACTATGTTAAAAAACAACTAAAAATGGTAGACACTAATCGTATTGAAAATGGGATACATTGGTATCCAAAGACATTGAATAATATCATGTATACAATCTTACCAACAATTTTTACTTCAACAAAATTATAAAAATAATAAACTTTGAGTGAACTAATTAATATTGTTGTTATTTCTTCCTTATTTGTGAGAACAACACTGTAAATTGTAGAATAATAACGAACACACTAGATGAATTTAGCCTTAAAATTTACTCTTGGGTAGGTACCACATGTATGTCTGATGGAACAAAATAAAGTCACAATAACAATCTTTCATTGATGTGCTGAATCTCTCATATTAGTAGTAAAGAAAGAAAAATTTCTCAAATTTTATGCAAAAGCTTCTTATCTGCTTTTAAAAGCAATCTATAGCAGAATTCTAGGTACTTTTGCAAATTGATTATCTTCGAACATCTTCACTCCACGCTACTACATGGCAGATAACCTAAATCGAGTGGACTTCTAAACTATTGAACGGGAAGTCATTCTGAAATATTCAAGAAAAACAAGTTTTTTTCTAGTACTGACCGAAGTACGGGAGTATTGAAACAACAGATCTCTTCACATCCTCAATCGAGAAAGAGCAGAGTGAAATAATTGCAATGCAATAACAAATACTAGCGGATATAGAAGCTTCTATAATCTAAAGAAATTCAAGGGAAAGCCAAATCAAAACAGATTCACTGAAACTAGTGACCCTCAAAAACAAGAATATACTCACTATAGTATGACTCAGCAATAATTCCGATTGGCTACAGTAAATTGCGTTCATCTTCAATAGTTTTCTCTATACTAGTACTCTTACAGAGTACCACTAGTTGAAAAAACGCTTGTAAAGACTATAAAAAGGTCTATATAATAACTAATTCATAACGCTTATTATTACCAGTGGACGTGCTGTTGCTATAGAAACAACATCGATCATGGCTGGAATCTTGAGAACAGTTCCACACACGTGGGCACGGTATTTTCTCTAGATCTTGTTCAGCGTTCTTAGAACCGTACTTTTCAGCAGGAAGCTTTTATTCTGAAGACCTTGGACTAAAGTAGAGATTTGCTTTAGAGCTAAGGGACTGATACTGCAGAGTAACATTGTTTTAAGCTTCACAAAGAATATAAAAAGAATAAAAAAAACACAATAGAAAAAACTATCACGACTTCACCTCATTACAATCAAGACCCTTGAGATACAGCAAAATAGTATCGCAAATGAGATAAATATATTGAAAAGGAAAAAAAGATGATCACAAAAATTTAGAGAAACAACATATGATAAGAACAGATGTAAAATTAAAACATTATCTATCGTTCATCATTGTTTCTAAATCGAGTACGATTCGTGTTTTTATTGAGCTGTAAGATGAACATTCAAGAGCCCAGTAGCGTCTAAAATTGTATGTATAGCAAGCTGCTTGAAAAGAATTATTTTCGTAAAACTGTATCTAGATGCTAAAAGCAGATTCGGACAGTACTCTGAAACGAAAGCCACTGACATTTAATGATGAAACACTTCCAACAGTTTCATGCAAAGAGATAATTTCAAAAGAAGTGTAAGTCGTCAGGTTTTTATATAAATAGCATTGGATAGTAACATGAATATTTCGTTTAGTCAATCTGAAAATGTTGGTGTTCAAACAAAATTTGAGATTAAAGTCACCGATTCAAGTTGTCAAAGTGTAAAACGAAAAGATCGAGAGGTAAGTAGACGTGATCATTATTCTTCTCTTTCTTTATATCAACGACACAGTAGATGTTTGTTAGTTTATTTACAGATTCAAACAGATATTGATCAAAATACTGGTAATGATGAAATCCGTGTGGACTATGGACGCTTAAACAAATTTCTTGAACGTACGAAACTATTAATGTTCAAGTATTTGGAAGATAACAGGCGTCAACGACGTTTATTTCGTATGTTAGAATGTCTGACATTCGACTTCTGTTATTTGAATGAACGTTTCTCTTCAAGGTCAAATCAAATTTAAGAACCAAGGAAATGATTTAGCAGAACCATTATTTACATTAACATATCCAGAAATACTTACTGATAAAGAAGTAAAATTTAGGGATAATTTTCCTTTTTGTGATCATCATTTTAGATCTTTCTGTGGACAGTTCACTATAATTCTCTATCATGTTCCTTATCATGTCGAAGTAATTTCACCAAGGAAATTAACTATTTTAGATTCATGTGACAAGTTTATCTTGGAGTACAAATGGTTCGACTATTGCTGTTGGGTATGGTAGTTCGAAACATGAAGCATTATGTATTCACAAAGGTGCTGTATGTACCTGGAATATAGAACGGTACAAAATTAATCCACAAAAACCAGATTTTTTTGTTGAAACAAGCGCATGTGTCACTTCGTTGGCGTGTCACCCGGAACATCCGGCTATTATTGCTGCCGGATTGTATAATGGTGAGTGCAAACTTATTATACGCTCACCCACAATACTGTAAATTATTAACTTTTCACTTTTAGGAGAAATTCTTGTTTGGGATTTTCGAAAAGCTGATGATCCTTTAATCGCTAATGTCGGAGAAAGACAAGATTTACATCGTGATTCTGTATCAAGTTTAAACTGGATCAGAGAACCAAAAGTATCAAAAAAAAAATTTATAGTAAGTAGAAATCTTCGTTATGGCAGGTTCCTAGAATTGATAAAATGGGCATTTCATACATGGTGAGTAATGTATGGAAGTATATGACTAAATGTCGAGTTCAAAAGAGATGAAACGTTTACAGTTAACTTATTGTTGATATTTTCTATTTATTCTATTTATTTTATTTTAATTTTTTCAAGCTTGTTTCTACGAGTCAAGATGGTAAAATCTTACTATGGAATCCTTTGCCGAGCAAAAATACATTAAAATTATTGGACGCATATTTTGTTTCGATCAGTAGTTTAGCAAAAACAAGTTCAAAACTATCGGGAAAACCAATGGGAGGTAAACATACACATACGCACACAAATCAATAACGACAAGCCACATCTCAAGTTTCATTTTTAGTAACATGTATTACATTCAATACAGAAGATCCTGAAACATTTGTGTTTGGTTGTGATTCTGGACAATTGTATAAAGGATCACTGAATTCAAATTCTTTGGCACATTCTCGTAAGCCAGTCATAATAGCTATCCTTGTTTGTCTTCATTATTATTTTTACTATTATACCATTTAGGTGAAGAAGGGTTATCTGAAATGTCTGTACAAGCAAAGAATCCAATAACAATCACATTCGAACATCACGATGGACCTATTTACAGTGTCGATTTTTCACCATTTCATCGTAATACTTTTTTATCATGCGGTTTGGACGATCAAATTCGTATTTATTCTCAACTGCTTGTATGTATTCTGAACTTTAACTCACTGAGATATAACTATGATTATTGCTATCTTAGCCCCAATCTGGTTTGTGTATATCACCATCAGAAGGTTATTTGTACTCTGCACAATGGTCTCCTTCACGTCCAATGATATTAGTAGTTGGAACCGAACATGCAGGTGCACTTATGTATGATTTAGAACCACAATCTTCATTGTCAATATCATCTCTAATACCTATACAAACATTGCAATCATCGGATAAAAAATCGGCGATTTATGCTGTTAAATACAATGTAAAAAGGTAAAGAGCAAGTATGCCAAGGTAAATGTAAATACCAATATATTCTTTGTACTTTTAAGGCCAAATATTCTTGCATGTGGTGATGGTGCTGGCGCCGTGACTATTTGGGAATTGGCTGAGAAATTTGTTATTGCATCAGACGATGAAAAAGAGGCGTTACAATCACTTGCCAAGAGTTTCGGAGAAAACTAACATAAACTGCTTTTTACTAGCTAATTGTTTATTAAATTTGTTAACTTGTATAAAAACACACACACACACACACACGCACAATTACAAACTATTCAGAAAGACTACAACAAAATGCATATTTCTATATCTATTTTGAAGGCTTGTTGCATTACGGGCGAAGATACGTACGACCGATGATCCTTAATTTTGTTTATATTCTGTTAAAATACAATATTGAGTACATCGCTAATAAAAAAGAGAATGAAATGCTTCTAGTAGTTTCTATGCAACCTCCTTGTGGCATTATTTGTCTGAAGGTATAGAGAGCCGCTTTTTATGTCAAACGCGGAAATCTAGTTTATCATATGTGCTTTTTCTGAACAAAATTATTCCAGTTACAATTGCTGCTATAAATGATGCTCTTTTCGATCGACTTCTGAATCAGTGGTGGATGGTGTTCATCTTCTTAAGACGAAGAGTTGCCTGTTTGTAACGATGATGGTAGATCACGATGAGCTGCTCGTGCCGATGAAGAACATTTTCTTGCATACAGTTCTTGGCCACAGCAAAGGTAACCGAGATGTTTTTTTTGGCATTCAGCCAAAGAAATCATAGGATAGAAACTAACTACTATATACAAGCTTTACATAGAAAATATGTACATTATTGATCAGATGGTTTAATATTAGTGTTAGTGATGTTTATACTGTTTCTTGTTTTCGTTGACGTTGAGAACGGGAAGACTTTTTATACATAATGGAAGTGGGGCGCATCGAGGATAGGTCTACCTTAAATAGTTTTTGGTCTGGATCTATTTCTCGCTCTTTTACAATCCATTCAATACTGATAAAAAGATAAGATAACAACGTATATGATTAGATTAGATTTTTTTTATGAAACAGTACATTTGCTTCTACCGGAAGAGAGAAAATTTGATGAGGAGAGTAATATAAAGATAGATTATCTGTGCTATAGTAGATCTACATGAACACCATTTTGTTATCCATCATTGACTATGTACCTAATTTTTTAGTCCATATCTATAGCTTTGCCTACAGAATTCTCGCCTCGGTAGTAATTTTTGGTCAAAAAATTAAAAATAAATGAATTATTGCGAATTACAGTGTAGTTTAAAAGAAATTCTGATTGTTTTCAACTTGTGTTATTTTCTTGTGTCCATATCAGTTTCTTTCTCGGTGATAATTTCCGTGTCTTGTACTTGTACACTAATTGTTTCTATAACGATTACGTTTCAGACACAATTGCTCATCTTCCTTTGCTAAATTGAGACGTTCACGGTTCCTTCGGATTCTGATAATTTGACTTTCATTCATTATTCCACAGATGGAAAACAATTATCGGAAACTTCTCTCTACCTTCTACACTGTGAAAATACAAGTGCCTCTCGGATGATGAATGAAACTCTTAAAATATCCTACAGTGGGGCACTTTTTTCAACGGGACACATTTTTGTGCTTAAAGTGCCCAGACAGGGCATTTAAAGTATCCCATTCATCGTCCATCAAAGTGCCCTTTTTAGCTGGCGGGACACTTGTTTTTGGAGAGTGTAAAAAATAGCGTCTTCAGGTCCGAAAACCGCATTTATGCATCTTTTTCGGAACCAAAGACGCTTTTTATAGAGAGTAGAATCAATGAAAAGTTCTTTTCTTCTACCGCATAAATATTTGCTTTTGTGTTTATCCTCGTGAGTAGATAGGAAGGTGAAGAAGAGTAACAAATTAACCGGAATGTTTTCTACTTTAAATTGCTATCGAAAGAGAAACAGGACTTAATATGTCAATTAGTGTACATATTTTTGCGACGTGAGAGAAACTGAGAGACAAACACGAGAAAGAAAATGTATGTCTCGACTGGGAATCGGACCCAGTGACAGCGGCTAGGCCAATGCTCTTCCCCTGAGCTACGAAGCACAGTCTAATCATACATTTCCTTTCAAGTGAATGATTTTAACTTACAGTTTCTTGAACGGACAGCATCCCTCATGAACGAATAGTAGTACTGCCTACATCTTAGGGAGAGTTTTAGTTTCTTTGCGAGGACTTGAAAATACCTGTTTTTTTTGCCGCTGTATAATTTAGAATAGAAAGATCTTTCCATTCTAAATTACACAGGGATGCTGTCTGTTCAAGAAACTGTAAGTTAAAACCATTCACTTGAAAGGAAATGTATGATTAGACTGTGCTTCGTAGCTCAGGGGAAGAGCATTGATCTAGACACTGTTACTGGGTTCGATTCCCAGTCGAGACATACATTTTCTTTCTCGTGTTTGTCTCTTAGTTTCTTTCACGTCGCAGAAATATGTATACTAATTAAATTGCTATCATCAAGTGATTGTTATCTTAAATATGAATGAAAAAAATTGCAAATCCGAATTGAGCAAATCTGAGAATCTTCTACTGCGCATATCCGCTTATGTTTATGGACAAATGACCAAAATGAAGAGCTGTTCATGAATAGCCATCTATAATCCAAATCTCTGCTGTCTTATGAGAATATGCTTATTTATTCTCTATAAATAGGCTTGAATGATATGCAGTAAATAGTTAATGGCAGTTTGAACATCTAAGTTTCAAGAAAATTTGTACTTCCCTTTCTGTAAGTCGATAGTTTGAATATCGAATCTTGCAAAGCGAACCTCATTCTTTTTGCAGTCAGTTATTAGTTGTAGATCTTGTGGTAACAATCGATTAAGATTAATTCATTGCACCCGACTACTAATTCTAACGAAGCAAACCTAAACAGTTTTGTTGGTTTCTTTGAACAAATACTTTCAAGATGCTTTATTTCACATATTACCCATTGATTTGTGTTATTAAAACGACAGTATAGTCCACGCCTTTTCCTATGACTGGTGAACTGCCTAGTTTTGAATTGCATGCTTTGTTTTTTCGGTTTCTACCTTTTTTGCGGATGTTTTCATTATAAAAATTGTTTACATTCGATTTGACAATATCATTTTCCCTCTTGGCAAAAATATCTGTAAAAAAAAAGAACTAAAATGCCATACTTATTCTGTTCTCCAAATTATATTTGCTGTTCTTCTTTATGTCATTTTGAATGATATAAATCATACCAAATTCTCCAAATTATTTAATAAAGTATTTAATGAAGGAAGAATTACTCTACAGTTATCATTGACGATCTAGAGACTTGTCAGTCTGGAAAAAGTCAGATAGTTTTCTCTACGTGATCACATAGTTGTCTATCCCTTTACTAGTTATCAAACTCTCTGATTAAAAGGTTAGTCTGACTCAGAAATCCTTTGCCCAATTTTATGAACTTTCTTAAATATGTATTAACTTTCTGGCAAGTCAAAGAAGCTATCTATATTGTACATCACAAAGTGTAATAGTAAGTAGTAGTGTGAATAGTAGTGTAATAGTAAGTAGTAGTGTGAATAGTAGTGTAATAGTAAGTAGTAGTGTGAATAGTAGTGTAATAGTAATCTTGAAGTTAATAACGAACTATGATCTAAGCAATGCTATCTTTATGTCTAAACTTGTATAAACCTTTACGCTGGTTGAGTTTCTCATGCGTTTACAAATGATCACAAATCTTTTTCATTTATCATAAAATTCAATTTCTGACTATCCACTCAGAGGTCAACGATAAAAACTGCAACGAATTGTTGTCAGATAATTTAAAATTCAACGCTTTTAAATATAATTACAGGCTAGATAGCGTTTCACCTATAGAACTCTATTAAAAAATTTCTTATAATCATAACTGCTAAATCATACACAGTCTCTTCCATATGTTTGAATATCCTAAAGAGTATTTTCAAATCTTGGAGTGAGAATCAAGTAGTTTTAGCTTAGTGATTTTTGAACTGTTTCTTATCGAGCACGTCAATTACTACGGAGTTTATAATTTTATTGTAAAAAGTTCGACTGAAAAAATAAAAAACTTTCTCTACCACTATCTAATTTTCAGTTAAGCTATCGTCGATGTCGACTTAGAGCTTGAAGTAATTCAACTGGTATTGGAAATACAATGGTACTATTTCGTTCTGTTGCAATTTGTGTTAATGTTTGTAAATATCTTAATTGCATGGCGATTGGTGATTCATTAATAATGTCTCCTGCCTCTTTCAAACCCCTTGACGCTTTCATTTCACCTTCGGCTGCAATTATTTTTGCTCTTGCATCGCGACTTGCTTCAGCTTCAGCTGCCATCGCTTTTTGTAATGCAACAGGAAGACGGACATCTTTTCTACAAATTAGACATAATGTCATTGTTATTTAATTTTGAAACATGTCTCCTTTATATTCTTACACTTCCACACGTTCAACTTTGACACCCCATGGATCCGTTGCTTCATCGAGACTTGTCTATACATTGTAAGAAGAAAATAATTGAAAGTTTTGAATAGAAAGAGAAAACTTGCTCTTCTACCTGGATAACTGTATCGATTTTATCTCGTTCAGCTAAAATTTCTTGTAAGGTTTTAGTACCGAGTACCTAGAGAATGTATACAAATTTAATAAGAGAAAATATTCATTGCATGACCTACAACCTATATCCCATACATTTCTCAGTGTAGTGGCAGCCAATAACTTCGTGGATTTTGCCGCATCTTCAACATTTGTTATTGATATTACAGCATTAAATATTCGAAAATAGACAACAGCATCTACGGCAACAGTTACGGAATCTTTTGTCAAAATCTAAATAAGAATATGTTTAATCATTGTAAAATATTGTAAGATAATACGTACTTCCTGTGGGGGAACATCAAAAGTTACAGTTCTAAGATCAACTTTACTATAGGTATCGATGCATGGTAAAATGAAGAAGAGTCCTGGTCCTAGACAATGAATACATGAAGTGTAAATTAATAAGTGTAAGAGACTTTGTTGCACGAAATAAAATACCTCTTGCTCCATTCGCTAAAATTCGACCAAGCCTAAAAATAACTGCTCGCTCATACTCTTGTACAACCTTGAACAGTAAAGAAAAGAAGACAATATTTTCTGTTACAAATTCTAGCTCAATAAGAAATAAGGTGCTTACTTTCATACAAAAACATAGTGATAGTGGAAATGTAATAACAACGAGTACATATGATAAAATAATAAGTACATGAAAACAATAGCCACTTTGTTCTCGTCGATCTTTGAGATCTAAAAATAAAATCGTTTTTTAAACAATGTGTCATTATTATAGTGCGAATAGATGATATTATTAGATTACTGTTCGTCAATTAACTTGACGTAAGGTACAAAAAATATTCAGGTTTTTATATTTAAATTAGTCCTATGACTAATTACAGTTGTTGTATAGAGTCAGGAAAACGTATGGAAAGAGAACAGTATTTGGACTGAATGGGGAACGAAGTGCGAATTATCTCATTTTTACGCTATTTAGAGAACGGTAGCTGAAAAAGAGAACGGTTTTAAAAAGATATTTGTTCATTGCACGTACATAGTTCTAAAGTAGAATTTTTCATATGTATTTAAGATTAAATTTGATCATCAATAGTCCACCGTTCTCTTTTTAGCCCTACTTCCGTTCTCTAAAACATCCTTGTTCGTAAAGTCACGTCTACACACAGTTAGAACGATTTAGAGATAATAATAGAAATTCATTCTTAAACACGGGAATCTACGTTAAATTTCTTATGGACACTTACACTGACATGATTGTAAAACTGCTTTTACTTACTGTAGCTAATGAAATCATAATATATTCATAGATATGAATATTAAAGAGACTACTTATCAGACGCTTAAAGTATGCATACATATACACACTGATCATCAATTAGATCCTAGATAATTAATCAAGCTAATATATACAACGCAAACCGAAGCTCAAAAACCGAGTATAAATGAGTATCTACTATTTATTACTAGTTAATAATTTGATATACCCCATTCCACTTCATTTAAAATTAAATCCTTTTCTTTACGAGTGTGCGTTTTTTGTTGTGATAAATTATTGATATCCTAACGAATGAGACAAAAGTTCTGCGTTAATTTTATTTTTGATACAGCGTTGCAATGGAGTGAGTATCTTAGAGACTTTACCTTTTTTTTGTTAGAAAGAGCAAAGTATCTAGTACAAAAATACATAAAAGTGTTTGATTGAAATTGTTTCCTGAAGATCGTAAAAATCTTTAAGGGGGACATCATTCCATTAGATAAGTGCACCAGTTTGTAGAGGATACTTTGAAAGGTAAATTCTGAACTTTTTCCAGGATCGCATTTGAAATCTTTGCGGAAAGAGTTTTTTCGTGAAATATCGACAATTTTGTCCCATTTTTAAAAACTTTCTCAAAAATTCAAGTTTTAAGCTGTAACCTGAACTCTTGCGCAGTTTCAAAGGCCATCTCAAACGGTATATATCCTGGAATTTTGGTCGACTTCCGTTGAGATTTCGCTGAAAGAATCATTTTTCTACATTTTGATAATTTTTTGGGCTAAAAGTAATTTGTGAAAACCTTGTCACAGATTCCGACCGCAGATGATTTTTGCGAACAAAAGCCTCGTAGTGGAAGTTGTGTAGAATGCAGTTCTAAACACTGCAATTTTTCTCTGCACCAGACTACCGAACAGTTTTGTGAAACTTGACTTTATTGCGTTTTAAATCGAAATTTAGTAGAATTTGATCTTAAAAAAATTAAATAAATTATAAAGTCAGGTTTCACAAAACTGTTCCGTAGTCTGGTGCAGAGAAAAATACACAACTTCCACTACGATACTTTTGTTCGCAAAAATCATCTGCGGTGGGAATTTGTGGCAAGGTTTTCACAAATTACTTTTAGCCCAAAAAATTATCAAAATGTAGAAAAACTATTCTCTCAGCAAAATCTGATATTATAAGTATTGGCCTTGAGTACAAATGACTGAACAGGAGACAATTTGATTAAAAACTTAATTTGAGGTTTACAATGCGGAGATAAGTTTTTCTCATATGATCTCACAGAGCAGCTGTATCATATTTCAACTAATATCGTTTTGTAAAGGACTCAATAAGATTAATAAGACGAAGGCTTGTATAAAACGAATAAAAAGATAACCTTTCTAATAGGATGAAATTTTTTCTAAATTCGAAAACGTTGCTGAATAGTTTGCCAGCATCCTTTGTTCTAAGATTTTTGTCGTCTTCGAAAAACATTTCCGATCAAACGTTTTTTACATATTTTTGTACTAGATACTTTGAGCATTCCAACAAAAAAAGATGAAGTCTCTACGCTATATCAAAAATAAAATTAATGAGAAACTTTTTGTCTCACCCGTTATATTTAACTAATTACAACTACATCATTGTTTCTTGAAAATAGGACGAGAGAGACAAGTCAGATTATTATCTTCCTTTCCTCCTTCCTTGCTTCTACACACAACTTAATTACCATAATGATCAGAAAATTTATGTCGTTGGTTGGTAGTTCTATGGTGTGATAATTTTCTGTGAATATGATGGTCACGATCACGATGCATCACGATATTTATTTATTCATTACTAATAATAAAATTCCACATATCTATGAAATACTTCTAATGAAATGGTGTTGACAGCGATGTTAATTGGAGTTAATATTTGATTATATAAACTAGTTTAAAGAAGATTTTTCTTTTTTTCCATGTTTTTATTACATTGTCAAGACGAAAATGTCGCTTCATAATTATCGTAACGGTTCTCCTTCTTTCACTATGGAATTAAAGTAAGATATCAACAAAAAAAGAGAAGAGAATGTCGTATACTAACGAAAAAACAACAACAAATCGTTTAGATTATTTAATTAATTCCATACATGTATACTCATTAGCTTATGATGACATTTATCTGATACCGGTGTTCATGTCACTAATTGAATACACATTTGTTCACTCCCCCCCAAAAAATAGCACATTTTTATGCTCAATGTAGGATGGTAAAAGAGTCGAGACGTTTAAAAAGGTTGAACGTTATGCAGTTGAAACTGTCTAGTTAAGTTAATCATAATCTACAAAAAAATTCTATTTGATTTGTAAACGGAGATTATTTATGATCTAATTATGACATTGATATAATGCACACAGATGATTATTTTTTCTTTCTTCTTTGTGTAGAGAAAGTATAACTGATTTCTAACATAAGGCTCAAGATAAGACAATGCATTTTCTGTTAGATACAAACTCTATCTCCATTTTCTTTTTCGCACGTGTCATAAAAAATAAATAAAAAGAACTTAGTTGACAGTTATATGAGCGTGCACAATTTTTTAATGTTGTCAACATTGTTAAACAATTAAAATTGTAGCAAAACCTATTCGTTGATATTCTAATAATATTAGAAATTTCCGTCTTTTTAACTGCTAACTAAAAGAAGTATTTCGACGTCGATTTTATACACTTTTTTCAATAAATAATCAATTCGAAATCAGAATTTGACAAAAATGAAAGTTAAACTAACAAATTAATTCTAATTTATTAACGAAAAATAAAAGTCAGAAAAACACAAAAACAACGTAGTATAGGACTAAGAGTTTTACGAAAATAGTTGATAATCTAGTCATCATTTGTCTTATTCACCTAGATAAAAGGTGATTGATTGACGTTCAAATATCAATACATACATCATGAAAGAAATAATCAACAGGTGTGATACTCAAACATCTTATGTTGTGTCTTCCTCTTGCTTATATATTTTTCTAATATAATCATAGTGTGTATATTGTAGCCTCACGTTTTGACAGCTGGTCGGAGTAAATTTCACTTCTAGTAAAAAAAAAGCACATGCACTCATCTCCTCGTGATTATTATCAAAACCCTCGCAGAATGCTTATAGAAAACGATAAAAGCAACATATAGATCAGTTTCACCAATTCCTATTCGTAAAGTCTTAATTCAAAGTAAACGAGAAGAAGGAGAAAAAGAGTAAGAAAATAGACAGGTAACTGATAGCTAGTCATCTTAGTTTAAATGTTTTCATTGACGAAAATGGAGAAGATACAATGAAAGACTTGATCATACTAACAGATCTTTATGATTCAAAGTGTGCGATCCAGAAGATAACGCAACAATAACATTTCTAACATTCTACTTGTATACGAATCCTGAAAAAAAAAGAACAAAACGAAAATAAAAAGAAGAAGAAACATACATTAATATTAACAGTAAGAACAAGAATAAGATGTAAGCACAGGTGATCACGGGGTAAAAAATGGTATAAGGTAGGTTTAGGAACTCTGATATATTTTATAATTACAGATGTGTGTGTTTATGTATAGTAAAATAATTTTAGTAAAATCAGAGCGGCATAACGGAAAAATTTCTTTGTGCTAAATACGGTGTTACTGATCTTAAAAATAACCGTAATCTCCTCAAACGTTATAGGATGTAGTAATAAAAGTGTTTTTAAGAGCCCCTCCCCTCAGAAATTATCTCCAACGCCGTACATCTGATCTTAACGAAACTTTCCATAAATGTTAGGTTTAATGAGTTACGGGAATGAAAAAGTTTTTTGTCTCCAAGTCTTACGGTTTAGGATTTTTCCAGAGATCAAGGTCCAAAAAGGATTCTGAACTTTTCCCAAAATTTTGTAATATACTTCAAGCTGAAGAGTTCGGGTTTATGTTATTTCAAAGTAGACACCTAACTACATGGACTGACCGGCGCCAATTTTTCAATTAAGCTTTTGTTGGTTTTCCAGGCAACCAACAACCTCCAAAACCCGAAAAATTCTTCCGAGTTTTCTAAAAATCCTCAGCGTGACCTAATTCAAAAATCGGCACCGGTCAGTCCATGTAGTTTCTTTTGCTCTTTTAAAAGAATATCCTACGACAAACCACTATTAAAAATCTTAGGAAATACTCCAGGTGTAACTCTCATATACAGAAAACGCTGTATAAAATACTCAATTTTACGACTGTAACGTTTTGATGCAAGGTCATACAGAATTGTGCGTGGTCTCATTTTGATCAGAAAAGTTTGCTCTACAAACACGTGTGTTCAGAAAAATTTTAATTGCATAAGTATCCAGGAAAACACTATTATTTGATGACCCGGCTCCTAGAAAATTTGATGAAAATCCGCGAAAAACCACTTTTGTAACCAAAAGCGATACAGATTCTGAAAGTAGACACTTCAGGCTATCTTTCCGCGTGTGTATCTCAAAACCGATTTTTTGACCGAAAATCACCATTTCTGAGAGGGGGACGGGAGGCTTAAATCAGATTTCAGATCGGAAAATTGGCTGCGCAAGTTCAAAAAAAGAGAAGAGCTTGAGCTTGAGCATAAGTAGAGCAACATGAAGAAAATAATAGATAGTCTCTGAACTCACATTATTACAAGAATAACAAGCCATCATTTTGTTTCTATTTATTGTTTAAATGTGTCATATAACATAAATTTAGAAAATATAAGTCACTTTTGCGTATTTGGACATATGTACAAGCTTTTAGAGGAAAATTATGTTCATGCAGAGTGTATACTACATTTTGCTTATATGTTTCAAAATGCTTTTCTCAAATAAACGACGGTCATCTAATCAATCCTAGATCCAGAAATTTTGTGTAAGATAGTTTAACAAGGTACAGAAAATTAATTAGTGTTTTAAACTTTTTGTTAATACGATAGAGATATAAGAGGAATAGTTGGTTAAAATACATTTTTTGAGGACTTTTTTTTTTAGTTTTGATGATGAATTGTTCGTCAAGTGGTGGTTTTGAGTTGTTAAAAACAGATTTCTAAGATATTATCATATGATGCTGGACAACATCTACTATTATTTATATAAAGAGAGGGTATATAAAGAAATATAACACACAAATCAAATCATACACGTGTACCATTGACGCAAAACTGTTATAATTACATATATTATACCAGTGCATTCTTCCATCATCATTAGAATCACATTTACACAATAGTAGTAGGTTCGACGAGTAGTTTGCATACCACAAAGATATGGTGGGCAATTTTCACTGGGTAGGCAGTATATCAAGTTTTTATCGTCGCAAATGATCGTTTTTTACTTTTAATGGCTCTCTATACATGAATATAATATTCTCATAAGAGAAAAAACTTTATTTGAAAATGTTTAGTTTTTGATCCAAAATACCTTAGGGACTACAGATGAAATCTATTGTCAGGGAAAAAATATCTGAAAAGATATTTTGTTGCAGTTTTTCACACAGATTCTGAGATGTCTTTTGTTTTAACCGAAAATGTTGTTGTAGGCGAGAAAAAAGCATTTGAAAATGAATGAAAAAAAGCTTGTCAACGTTGCTCCTGTGAAGCAAAAAGTGTGAAAATTTTCGTAACCTTTGCTAGCGGCAATAAACCTTCTAGCAAAAACACTGGCACGATTATATTTCTACAGCCTTACCTACTAAGACTCTTGCCTATTCTTAACAAGAAATGAAGACTATGTAAATCCCAGAGCCCGACTTTAATACTATCTAAACCCCAACATTTTCCGCGGTACATTTTCCCCTAGGATTTTCTCTATAAAAATAAACTACAAACTTCTGTCTCCTTCGGAGGACGTGTCTTTGGAAGTTTTCACAAAAATCTAGCACGAGGTCCAGGAAGATTATTAGGCTATTTTAAGCTAAGTTCATATAGACAGAATAGGCATAAAGGAACATTTGTGCAAAGTTTGAGCGTTGTCCGAAGGATGAAAGATGAGTAGAAACTCATTATAGATCATTTTTGGAAACATTGTTAACAAAACAGTTTTTTTAAAATAAAGTAAGTAATTTTTAAATATCGCCGTTATTTCTACCCTAAATCTTCTCTCATCATTCCAATTGAAATAAAAAGTTCTATTTCTAGAAAAATAGCTAAATTTGTACATTGTTATATGAAGAAATTAAAAAAAGACTATTTTCATTTTTTTGCTAAATGTCCGCATGAATACCCACTGTGAAAGAGTAGATGATATAAATATTTGCATAGATGTGCATCTACGACAGTCAAGTATAGCAACCAAAACATAATTAGAGACGATATAATACTCACCACTGATTTTGTGTTACTAATTACAAAACACTGATTGTCATACTTAAACATATTCAACGCAGTAGCCTCGAAAAATAATTGAACATGTGACATCTATGTCAGGAAAGGCTGTACGGAACGGAACGATACTGTGTGTACTTGTACATGTCATCAAAGAATGAATTTAATAAACAAACAATGGAATTAATTACTGAAAATTAACGCGTTAAGACCTTCTAATTCGTTTTATTTGATACCTGTTTCAAAACTATGAAAGTAATTACGCTTGGTTGGGATACGTGCACCTAATCTATCATATCACATCTTTGAAAGACAACACCACTCTCTATGTTATAGCAATATATTTTGGGTTTTGTAGGAAAATATATCATAGTGGGACAACAATGTAATAATGACTACACGCATATATCTACATCGTCAAGCTAAAAAAATGTATAGTCCCACTTTGAGAAGATGTATTTTATTTATAGAACAATATTTTTTTTGTTAAAAGAATGTATCAATAGGAGGAGAGAAACCGGAATTGAAAAACATGTGTATTTTTTTTACAGGAAAATGGCGTTTTCATCTCAAACATCATTATCCTTCTTTGGAAAGAGTAAAAGGAATGTTTTCACAAATAGTTACATTAAAAATCTTTCGACACACACTGTCAATGTGTGTGAACTTTCTCTATGAGTTACTGCATTGTCTCTTAAACAAATCTAACAGTATTAGACGAACTATAAATCATACAAAAGTGATTTTTTATATCTATTTAAATGCCATTGAATGAATGATGTCATATTTATTGTTTCTAACACAGGAAGAAGGAAGAAAAGAAAGAGATATTATATTAATTTAATATTGTCACATATAGACAAAAAATAAGATGTATAGATACATATTAGGATGATTTAATAATTTTTCTTACAGTTCTTTCTCCTTCTTTTTTATAGTTCAGCCGTAAATTAAGAATTCATTATGTCTAAAATGATTAGGTTTTGCACACGTTACAGTTCATATGAAATATACACGTTTCTAACAGGATTGATTCTTCTAATTTGTTTGAAACATGATGCTTTTTAATTGTCTCAAAGGAAATAATTACTTATTACAGAGATGTCGCCACATCGAAAATTTTTAATTAATCAAAAAAACAAAATTGATCTGTTTAATGAACAATACTAATACTCCGTTTATACTCACTATTTATCCAACTAATAGGAAGTTACTTAATACTTTCTTGGCAACCTTTTTTTGATTTATACCTCATTCGATTTCACAGATTTTCGATTAAGTTTCGGAAGCAACAAATATTTAAAATCAGCATCGTATACCATGATTACTATATGTGAACGTCAATCTCTTCTAAGTGTAAAAACGTTTGTCTGAAGTTTAAGATAATGATCGATACCGAGTACAATGCAATGTCAGATGTAAATAAAGTTTCAAACATGAAAGGACCGCATCAGTTTTCCCTCAACAGGACTTGTTCAGAAATTTTCGTTTACTTGAACAGCGAAGATTTGCGGCAGTGATAAAAAACGGCACAGGCTTGATAATATAGACTTAATCTGCTCTAACGTTTTATATTTTTTCCAGTTTCATCTTTACTCCGAAGATTTGTTTTCGTAGAAAACTCAATATAGTATAAATGTGAACCTTTCTTTCTACAGAAGTTCAGCTGTCTAACATCATTTTACATCGTGAACTATTGACAAGCGTTCATATTCTTTTATAATGAAGTGACTGACCGTGGATAAATTAAATAATCTTCATCTGATTGTAAAACGTAGATGCCATGCTCTCAATGGCACTTCAGAAGGTGAAATTATTCATCATTACTTAGCTTTCTCTCTTCAAATATTATAATCTGCGTCTTTTGAGAAAAACAAATTATAAGTATTTTCGTTATTGCTGTCTAAATCTGGGACGTGACTTGTCAATTCTATTAAAATACTCAATTTTCACTTGAATTTGTACTTACCATCAGTTGGTCTTCTCACTAATGTTTGCCGTGGTATTAAAAATGAATTTCTTGATAATCTTCTGGCAACATTACCATCAAAATTATTACTTCGTTGTACCAATGGGGTAATATATTCTTCAGCACTCAATGATCCAAATTGTGTTCGAAATACATCTGGTCGACTTGCTCGTCGTACGCCGTATGTATAGGTAAAACCAGTTGTCTCATCCATATGATCCATTTAGTTTTATATAGAACTACTTTTACGGTTATTCGTACAGCATAACAAGGAAACGTTTCTCATCACCTTAATACACCATCTAATTCATGGTCGGCTAGAAATAAAAAGACATCTTAATTTGATGTTGTTGATTGACATAGATAGACTATGAAATGAGAAGAACCACTTAATAACCAATGTTATAGTTGAAAATTTGTTTGTTATTTATTACTTGTCTTGCAAATATTTTCAGAATATAAGTTTTCATATTCCGAAAGAGAAGAAAAAAAATAGAGAGATATGGAAGTTCAAGAGAGAGAGAGAGAAAAAAAAGATTTTTTTTCTGTCTCTTCTTTATAGTCTATCACACCCAATCTGATAATGTTAAATCAAATATCTCTCTTTCTCTCTGATGTATAAAGCAAGAGAGAACGAGAGAGAAAAAAACTTTTTTAAGAATTGCAATGTAATAATAATAAATCGAATTGTAACATTGATCAAGATGTTGTACTTAATATCTCCAATAACGAAAACCAGTGCTAGTAGTTAATACAAAGTATTTTTAATGAGATAAAGAAGAAGAGATGATTGACTTTCTTTTCTTCCCTTCCCTTCTATCGTTAAAAAATATTTATTATATATAAAACAAATCATCTTCTTTTTATTCTCTCAATCATAAATAGGAGACAAGAATATTGATTGCCAACGGGTTATACTTAAAGTATGCAGAGAGGAGGAGTGAGTGAGTGAAGCACAGTGGACAATTTTGGTTTGTCAGATATATAACCATTTTTTCTAGAATAAATTCTATTTTTTTATAAATTAATAGTATTCTTTCATGGTAAAAGTTCCCGTTTACATGAAAAAAAATCTTTGAAAAATTTTCATTTTTTTTCAAAAAACAATGCCTTAGGGAGTAACAAAAACTTTTCATCAAGTTTTTTTCATCCAAAACATATTGTGTTATACATGGTTCAATGCAGTTAGATGAACTGTATCCAAAAACAACGTTGGTTTAATGATAAAATTTATTGAAGATGAAGAAAGTCGAAATTATGTGAAATACCCTAATTTCGTTTAAAATATCCATGCCTCATCCAAATCAAAGTTGTCTATTTTTTTTACATGCAGCATCCTCAAAAATTCACCTCCATAAATGTCTCAGCACACTTCTCGATCGATTTGAATTACGGTGTACAGGTAGATTATACAAGGCTGGTACTCCTAATGCATGTGATTAAACATGAAAAAACTTTACAATTCAGAGATTTTTGTTCAAGACCATAACATGTTAAATTTTCTACTATTCTGAGCAGTTTTTTAAACAACTGTTTTTATCTCCTATAATCAGCATTCCAAACCTCTTATGAGGATAAAAAGCGCTAATCATACATAAATAGACTAACTTTCAATTTTCGCTAAACCCCTCATCAATGTTTACTTTGAGAAGGAGAAATTAAGAATAGAAGTTAAGAAGCTAATTAAGAATAGAAAGAAAAGAAGTTAAGGTACTGAATACAAGAACCGGCTATTCTATATATCTCTAGTGAAAGGATAAGCTGAAAATCTGGACAAATCTAAATAATGAGAGAGAATTTTTGGACGCTGGGAATAAAAATGAACTCTGAATAATTTTAAAAAGTTTTTTGTAAGAAACTTACACTGCAATGGGTCGGGTCGTTTTAATAGTTAATAAAATTTCACTGAGTAATAGCAATGCATTCAGACTTTGGTGCGAGATACAATAAAGATGCCTTATCGATGAGTGCAATATTTTATAGATTGAAGCAAAAATCAAGAAAAGTTTTTGTCTAATTTAAACACTGCCCTCAATCAAAGCATTCAGATGCTTGTTCAGTAAAGCTCCTTTTTAATAGGATCGACTCAGTAATTGTCAATGTGCATCTGTCATAAAACTATTCAGACAGGTCGAGAGGCATCTCATTAGTTTAAAAACATCGTCTCAAGTAAAAGATCAACAGTTTTGATTTTCTAGAATTTTTTCTCTAATTGAATTCGATTTATTGCCATCGAAAACTGTTTCATTAGCATTTTACTCTTGGAATACGTCAACATATTTATCGTGTATTATGTTTATGGGTATTACATATTTTTGGGTAGTTCAACGCACGACGACGATAAAGTGAAGCCTCAATTTTTGATAATGATCGAAACTGAATTATACTGCCAGTTTGTAGACCAGGATTCTGAATCCTTGCTTGAACAACTTCTTGGGAATAAATCTTGGGAATTGGTATTACTTCATTTCGTGCGCGTTTTCTCATAGTCGCGACAGTTATATCAATAATGATCTTACTTTTATCTTGTGTACACGAATGTTGTGTTTCATCTTTCATGATGACTAAGCCTTGTGAACATAACGAAATGACACTTGTGCAATTAGAATCTCTGCATCTCCACTGATTACTCTTCCTATTACTTCGTTTTTTGGTAAACTGATAACCATTTAGATTCAGCACAGATTTACTTTTTTCGGTTTCTGTCAAATTTAATATTGCAAACTTCACTCCCGCGACAACTTTTGGTCAAATGTAAATTTTTACTGTCTGCTTTAGAAACGTTTCCGTACATATTTTTATTTATTTTAAGCTGACCAACGTGGATGAAACCCTTGTTATTTTGAAGAACACAAAGAGAAACAGAACTTATGCAGAATAAATATTTAAAAAGTGGGACGAATTATTTGGGACGAACTGAAAAAAAAATTATGGGACGAATTGAGAGAGAGCAATTAGGGACGAATCGAGAGGACACGATTTATAAAAAGACACCAATTTTTGATCTTGAAGATCGTTTTTAATATTGCGACTACTATCATAAAATCTCCTTTCTCGGGTTTTTTCCAATGGAAAATTCTGAAAAATAGAAATTAAGGCTATTTCGGATAAAATTTTCTTTGTGAGCTAGTAGAAAATACGATCGGGTACAAGTCGTGTACAGACAGTAGACGTCGTATTTGTCACATGTTGCATCCGAGAAAAATTTGTCAAATATAACATTCGATGCAGTTTTTTTGTAGATTATGACGAATATGGTATGGTATTTGTTATGAAGAATAATGTTTAAAAAGCCGTCACATCTTTGAAATACGAACAAAAATACCTTGTCTCTAACATGGATATTTCTTCTCTCAGACTTTTACCAGAGGAAAGCGACTCTCAGAAAAAGTTTTTGGCTTTTCATTTTTTCATTCTTCCATAAGCATCTGGCACAAATTGATAATAAAACTGTGAGGGCGACTAATTGTATATAGAAAAATTTATTTATATATATTATTAATATGTTACTGTACTTTTCTTTCTTCTAGTTTTAGCTACTGATACTTGGCACTTATGTATTACAAAATATATAACCTGTTCTCTATAAAAGTAGCTTTCCTACAAGAACCAAGTACAAGCGAGTGTGATATAAATCAAGATGTGTCCTGGATATGCTGGGTTTTATTCGACTAGGAATAAATCTAGGAATTGATGATGGTACTCGGTCAGTATAATATGTTTTGTTAGTACAACGTATATGAGAAAAAAACTAAACTTTTCAGTCAAAAGTCAGTTTAAAATATAAAGCTTAAAATTTCTAATATTAAATAAAAGTTAACCTTGAACACTTGTTACTGATCCTCGTTTGATATAACTGGTCATTAACCATTGTATATAAATAAAAACATAACTCTCTTTTTTTCGCACAACGATAATGGAATACAGTCTAGTAATAATGATCCTTATAAATATGTACATTGTATGTCGAAATATAATCAATTATACTGAAAGATATGATAGACAAAACGACTGTTTTTCCGCATATATCTCGACGATAACTATCTCATTGACAAACTGTTTCTGATCTGTAAACGAAAGTGCAACTGTTTAGGGCTTAAAATATGAAAGAAAAATCGGCATTATGTCTGAATAATCTGCGATAAACCATCAGAAATGTTACAATCCGAATGCGGAGTATATTAGAAAATGATTAGTCTAAGTATCCTTACTTGATGTATTATTTATCATATATTATATTAAATGTTATGGAATTTGAATTTTTATAACTATGAAGAGTTTAAGTAAATGTGGAATCAAATGGCAGATAGATTTTTCGGATTCATAAGCGAAAACAAATTCACTAATAGGACACTGAAAATGGATTTGATGCAACACGTATAATAATGATCAGTTTTTAGTCAAAATAAAATTTTTGTTTCCTCTTGTAGTTTCACTACCGTGAGAGTTAAAGTAAGATAAAAAACTCATAAGAGAAATACATAATCGCATGGTTGACAATGAAATCTTTGTTTTAAATAAATACGTGTTTTGAAAGTGATGAATGAAAAAAACATGAAAGAAAGAAATAATACTGAATTCATGAACAAGTTTTCGAACACCAAGAAAAACTCTAAAACGAGCCTTAAAAGTAGAATTTACCTATAGCTAAAAATTTTGAAAGTAAATAGGATACTTTTTTGATATTTTAAACTCGACTTATTTATTTAATCGCAGTAAACCTGCGTGACTCGTAGGGAAATTGTGGCAATGAATTTATCTTTTCTCTAGCTAACGAGGGAACCTTCCGAGATGCCTACTTTCGATTCAAATGCTTTGTACATGGATCGATAGACCTCATTCGTAAGCGTTGAAGCGACGATGAGTAAGTGGATGGGTGATCGCCACTGAAGATCGAATCACCAAATTATTTGAAAAGAATCAATAACGATATAAACAAAAAAACAAAAATTATTTCGTTTAGATCTGACATATATATTCTATTAAAAAAACTTATTATTAAAACTCGTTAAATTATTCCATCGTTCAAAACTCAATCGTCTATATGGAAAACATTTTCTGAGAACTTGAATAAGGCTGAAATTCTACTGATCCTTCCACTCATTTTTTTATTTTACTTCACATATGTTCACATTGACTCGGTCATATATTGCATTGGTTTTTAATACATTTAAAAACGTAGCATAAAAACTTAGCTTGTTCTGTATAAGGTTTAAGCCAAAATGATCATGATTTCAAGAGATTTCAGCACTTCAAAATTGTTTTGCATTTTTCTCGAAATACGCAAGAGTTTATTCTATTGAGAATGGACTTACTCTATTAAACTTTATCTGTTCAACTTCAAATCTTTGGGTGCTTTCTTCACAGTGAGCATGCATAACTACTTAAAGGTCCAGTAGTCGAGACGATCTATATTTTCTTTCTCAGCCGAAGAGGAGGCATCGGAAAAGGATAAATTAAAAAACAACCAAGCATATCGAATCCTACTATCTGTGGTAAAAATCTGAACTCGAAAGAATAGATTTTCGATGGAGTAAGTCCCTGTTCAATGTAAAAGCTGTTTTTTTAGAAAATCCTATAAAAAAATGGCTTCGGAGATCCGAGTAAACAATATGCCTATTTTATTTTTTGAGAACAAACTCTAGCGAGAGTTTTATCTCTTCGCGATTTATCGTTACGATTCTCAATAAGGAGAGAAATGAGGGGAATACCCTTAAAAATCACATGTAAGATAAGTAAGAATTGTTTTGCATGTAATCTTTATGAAACCCTCAGCATGGATAGTTTTGATGTACTATACACACTGACATAGTCAACAACTAAAAATAATCAGTTTGTCTTTGCATTGGTCTTGTAGAGATCTGTTGAAAAACTCTTTTTCTGTTTTTGAATTGTGAAGTTGTTCACCACTTGAATATATTTATTATCTAAATTTTCATGAAGATTTCATGTCATTTAGCTGAGTTATGCAGAAACAAGTTCAGATAGTTTTGGAATATTATGCATAGCAAAGATCAGCACAGGCCGGACCGTACCGAGAATCAATGGAACTATCATGTCTAGCATAAATAAGTTTGATCAAGATTATAATATTTGTGTTTGTTCTAAATATACTTAGTTGAATAAACATGTTTACCTACTGCCCATGAGGGTTGAAAAGAAACAAGGCGAAAAGTCATGAAAATTTATATATTATGGCTAGAAATACATTTGGATCAGTTAGTCAGCAAGCGTATTACTAAAAAAGCCTCGATTGGGACCAGAAAACTTTCAGAAGTGGTAGAGACGGGCTGAACGTGTAAATCTTTAATAAACCGGTCTCAAAAAAAGTATCTTAAATCTTATTATGATGTTTGGAACTTATTTAAATGCTGCAACCACATTTTAGAACCACTATGGTTCTAAGATATTAATTGTTTTAAAATAATTGTGATCCCGAAAAAATCTAATTCCTATTTATGTACAGGGAGTGGACGGAACGTTACGTAGCATACCGGATCCTAGAATGACACAATTTTTTTATGGATACAACACGATACAGCGAAAAACTTCATTTCACCCACCTTTGATATGTACAGAATGTATAAGATGGGCAGTTGTCTTGACAATTAGACTTAGTTCTTTAGAGCTAAGAATTACAAGTTCAGGTGAAACTGTAAGTCAATTTTAGTATATGTCCCACGTGAGCCTTATGCAAGGGTGGTGAGTTATATATATGGAGAGTTTCCACTGCCGTGTTGAACGTGAGTTTTGTGTTAGTATTAGCCATTAAAAATGGACATTTTTTTGTGTTATATAAAATAATCGTTTATTTCGAATTTTTTCAATAATGCATCGGGAAAAAAGGTCTTTTTTCAGGGTATTTTCGCTTGAGACAAAGTCCAAGGGGATCTTATTATTTCTGTTATGTAAGCTCAAATTCTGTTGTTCCTTATTTCGTTCAGAATATCGACAAAAATTGAATGAAATGTTTGTCTCTTATTAGAAATCTTGTTTAGAGAGTCTTCTCAATACGAAATTGCTTCACGAATACTCCTTTGTTTTTTATCACCCGTGTTCTGAATTAGCTTGATGAAGATAACGATTCTACGTCTTCATCACACAAACGTACAAATTTATGAGCATAATGAACATTGTTCATTAAGGTTTGAATTTAACGCATTAAACAATTTAAGATTTACGTTTAGATTATTGATTAATCATTTGTGCGCTTGTTGTTAAAAATTCAAATAAGAATTTTAAATGATCATCATTAATTATTCAACATTAAATTTTATGATAAAAGCTCCTAATATCAAGCGATAATAAGCAAATAAAATGAAATGCATCATGAGCGTTTGAGATAAATAGTATCTCTCTGTTATTTCAATCATCCAACACGCTTAAAGTTCCGTACGCTTCACGAAATCTGTATGTATCAGATTTTCAGTTCTTCTTTTATCAAATGCCAAAAAAAGGAGAAATATAAGCATATTACAATAATGGAAAGCATGAATGTGAGAATAATCTGCTTCTAACGATATAATGATACAAAAAAGGCAACATTTGCTTTTGAAATCCTCTAACACTTAGAAAATGAATGCAATCAACTATTATGAATTTGAATATTTGAAATATTTTTACATAAATATTCTTCATCGATCGTTTCAGCATTCAATGCTTCATTCATAGAATCTTCGTCGTCACACTGCTGTTGTGCTAAACAATTGACTTTTGACAAATCATTTTTAAATGTAGTATCATTATCTGAATCACCGCTCATCGATTCACTATCATCATTATTTGACAGTGGTCGTTGCTCATTGACATGTTCAGGAATACTATTAGTTACTGTTGTTGCTGATTTTCGATTCCTTGATCTCGTTTTTCGTCTTTGTCGTCGTCGTCGTCGTTTTGCAGTAGAAGTTTTTGAGCCAACAGATGATGATGAAGATGCCGAAACAGTTGTTGTATTTCTACTTTTTGATCTTCGATGTTTTTTTCGTCGTTTAGTAGCACCATTATGGTCTGTTTGTTTTGAAGAGTAAAAGACAGATTTTTTATTTGGATTAAGAGGTCGGCGACGTCGCCAAGAATGCTCTGAACAACAGCTAAATGGAAAAATATAGTTAGATATTTTTTATGTATAAAATATGTTTTTTAAGCGTTAAAACAAACTAAAGCATGATAAAATTAGCGTATGAGTATCTTAGAGAGCTTCTGTAAAATATAAAAACGAGTGTTCAGCTACCTTTAGTATAAGGAAACAAGATGACTAATCTCGTTCGAAAAAAGCAATGGAGTCAATCATTTCTTAAACCAGTCATGCTTGGGTATAGATAGAGGGATGCAATTATGTAGTCAATACTTTACTTGATCTTTTAATGAAAAAAGTGGAAAACCTAGTGAATATGAGTTATTCGAGGGCATCTAATACAATTTTAGGTCTCTCAAGAAAACTAATGCTTCGGCTAAACTATAATATGTGATGTTTTCTAGTTTTCTCATCATATTTATACAATAAAAGTATTTTTCTAAACACCTAGGTTTGTAGCGTAACCTTTTCTAGTCAAAGTGAGAAGTAGCACAACTCCGTGTAACTTTCTGTTAAAAAGGCGCAGACATTTTTCTAGAATGAAAATAAATTTCTCACAGAAGAGTTTTTTAACAATGTTATTACGTAAGAACAAAATTTATTAGCTCTGTTTTCTTACCTTTCACAAATTCCTTTCAACCATGGATCAATTGATTTAATTATATATGTTGGTGAATGATAACTTTTTGCTTCAAATTTATAACTATCAAATATTTGTACTTTTCCATTGTTCCATCTTGCTCCAATTGTTTTTTCACCCTCACCAAGAAATATTTCAACATGTGTTAAATTATGACGTTGTTTTTTCACTAAAACATTATACACACAATTATTAATGATTCGAAAAATATTCTAACATACTTACTCACTCTTTGTATTGTAATAAATCGCTGATATAAACACAAGATCACCGGGTTGAATATCATTCAAATGAAATATAGTCTTTGGTAATGTATCATACATGTAAGCTTGATTCCATGGACCAATAACAAAACCAAAATCTTTGGCTAAATCGTACATCACTCGTCGTACAAGACCACAACAATCAAGAAACAATGTTGATTCATATTCCGGTGCTATAAAAAAAAAAAAACATTGTTTAGTTCACACACATCACACTCTGTATTTAAAACTTTTAATTAGATCAAACAAGCAAATTTTTGTTGATATTTTTGACACTTTAAGAAAATTAAACATCAGTAAAAATGAGCATATATTGTAGACAATTAACAATTAATGAATAAAACTAATTTCATTATGAAAAATGTATCTTATGGTACAAAGTGCGACTAGCTGTATAAAGCAAAGATGTAACCGACAACCGGTCGGTCTACGTCGATCCCGGCCCGATTACATCTATGGTATAAAGCCAAAGTGCTAGTTTACATGATTGGTTTAACTCGAAATAATATCAAGTAATATTTTATACTGCACCATGTTTTATCAAAATAAATTAGCTAATTAGTCGTAGATATTCGAAACCTTTTCGGAATACTACTAAATCATGTATAATTGACCACATTTTACTTTTCATATGATATGACAAAAGTGCTAAATGGATTGATGATAAGAAATGTGTCTATTTTTCGAGGAAGAACGTATTTTATAAAATTGATTTCAACAAATAGAAGATATTATCCTTATGTACTTTTTTATAGTCTGATGACTTTAAAGCTACACTTTATCAATCATGAATGAAGATATTATAGAAAAGTCAGCAAACACTCACTACCAAACTCGAAATATTTTCTCGCATATGGAACGCCAATATATTTCTTTGCTTGTTCAATAAATTTAAATCTTAAACGTTTCATTCGTTCGGGATCACTACGACGGATTTTGATTTTTCGTTGCTGATGTATTTTCATATGTTGTTCTAATCTCATTTCATTCTAAAAAACAAAAAAAAAAGATTAATTAATCAGAAGGCGTCAATATTGTCGACAAATATTTCATACAGGATATGCATTTTATTGTGTTAAATATCAATATTATTTAACAATCACTTAATTGGCAAACTAATTACGAAAGTTTAATTATTTACATTAGTACGGGTCCTTGGCCGCACCCCTGTTTGTACGTGTGTTTCATTCTCAACGCGTGTCATTTGTACGCAACACAATGTTCATATATGTTAAATTATGTCAATATATTATATTTGTTGACCGCGATACACAGGCAAGAAAGAAAAGACCCTATATACTGACCATATCCAATCAGGACAAACGTTAATCTTAGTAAACATCAATTTTTTTCACTCTAACGAAAAAATGCGCCCTTTTAATCAAATTGTTTACAAAACGAAACATGGGTATAAATACGATCGAATTTTTGCGGTTACAATTCAATTGATGAAGATGAGAGTGATACACTCTTAGTTTCTCTATCAACCAAATAAGGTAAGTGATGGTTCTCTATTCTGCTATTACCATATGATTATGATTATTTAGAATGAGTTCATAAGAATGCATGCATTCAAATAAAATGAAACCTAACAAATTTATTTCTATTTCTTTAAGAATTACATATATTTTCAATTATTATTATGAATATAAGTAAGCAATATGAAATTATATGATGATGCGAATAGTAACAATTATTTTGCGGTTTTTATAAAACTTCTGATAATTTCTAATGCTCTTTTTTTCTAGTAACAACGACAAATTCTATTAGAAGATTCCAATTTAATGTTAAAATAGGAGTTCTATGTTTCATCTTACTTCGACAGTATTAGTTCGTATAACTAATTTGCTAATACTGTCAGGTAAAGATGGCTATCTTCGGACGCATATCGACGACTTATATGTTCCATTAATTAGTATGAATATGCTCAATAATGGACGATAAGATGATGAAAAATAACATTTCAAAAGTAAATATACGTTATCAATATCTTCCTCTCTTCTTCTACGTTTTGCCTATTATGAAACAGACAGTTGTACAGAATTATTGAGTAAAATATTTTCTTATACTATAGAAAGTATATATGGCAAGAATGAATGCATCGGCTACAGTTAAAAACTTTGGGCATACCATTTTATTATCACGAAATTTTTTGAACGCATCTTGTAATGTTTGACTCTGCTTTGTCTCATTGACCAATACTGATGAAGGATTTGCCCAATCCACAACAAATTTTGCATTTATTGTACGATTACCAAGGGAGATTGTACTTTGTTTTGAAAATGTACGCTCGGTAATATTAGTCTTAGGGGCTGTTGTTGGTCGATATTTGCTGGAAAGAATTCTGTTGACAGATGACGATGACGTTGATGTGATTAAGGGTAACGCAACTGCCATATTAATTATTGAGATGTTGAGTCTAGTTTCCAGCAAACTAGAAAAACAGCAATATTGTTCGCTTTATTTCATAATTTCGTTTAAGCTCAAAAAATCTATTTGATTTAATGATACTCAAAGCTCTTGTCTTTTATATTTGTCCGACACATCCATTTATTTTCGATAAATTTACGTGAAATGACCTACTGTACATCACTGTTTTCTTTTAGTTTTGGCTATAGTATCCTTCTTTTGATTGATCTACTATGTACACCACCAAGGTTTTTATCATCTCTTGTATCTTTTTCCGCGCGAAAAGCATATTTCAGAAAGAGTATATTCAATTACATCTATAGTGTACTTTTTAGATGAAGGGCTTTATCATGCATGCAGGTAGATCTATGCAGTTTTTCATAATCCCTCAATTAGGACGAATCAAAAACACATTAAAACTAGAATACAAGTACGCTGCAAGAATATTGCCAAAGGCACAAAAGGACAGCAATACAAATACAGCTCGGGCGATTACTAATTTTGAAAAGAAAGACAGCAATGAGTAGGTTGTCGTCCTCACCAAAAATTCGAAATAACGACTAATTCGAACAATTAACGAAAATTCGAAATAACGACTAGAAAAAAAGGAGGAAAACACACTAATCTTCTCCATATAATCTACGGTAGCATATGAATGAACTTAAAGCTCATGGCTCAGCTATGTTTCGTTAGATGTATGCTGTAGATTTCATGCTGGTACCCAAAATCTCTGATTTTGCGTCCTATTTCCTCAATATTCTGTCACATAATGATCGGAAAACATAGAAGATAAAACATCATCGCACAGAGAAAGCCGATTTCAAATCAATTTCCTTTCATTTAACTTGTTAAGCGCTGAATAAATTTTCACTTAAGAACATTGTACAAAAAATTCGTTTCTAAGACAGAAATTGTTTTCAGAAATGAAAAATGAGAAAATTTCGTCAAAAAAATGCGATTAAAGATTCATTGATCTTCACCATTTCAACGATCAAAGATCTCATGCGCCCTAAAAGGTCATGTGACACGTTAACAATAATGACGTCTAGCAGCTCTCTTGTATGCTGTTATTCAAAAGCGAAATGTTTTCGGAAATTTTGGTATTTTACTTACAGAAAATCAGAAAATGATAGAAAAATTGTGAAAAAGAGAGGTTCCATACGAGAGCATCGGCTGCACCCATTTAAGGCAGTACCGTCGTTTCTGAGAAAAATGAGTCAACAGGTTTACCAGAGAAAAGGAATAATGACTAAATGCCAACTACTCTGTAGTGAGTGCATTTTTTCATGGTGTATTCAACTTACTTACCTCGCTGAACCCGCCACCGGCTATATTATTTCAAGAGTATGTCTAGCAATCTAGCGATTGAATAACCGCTTCCATTATCATACAAATCGCCTGTGCAACTTAGCAACAACAAGAAACAGAAGTAACTTCAAATGAAATTTGTAAAATTGCACAGCAGAGAAATTTGCTATCTCATTTATCGAGGATTTAATGTATAAGTAGCCTCCGAGTAACCTCTATACTAGTCAGATTATGATGATTTCTCTTAGCAACATTTGAACGAATCAAGTTTTATTGCGGTTACGAATGAGTCATTTTCTCTATCTGTCTATTATCGCTTGTGCTGTTCTATTCCTATACATACCTAACTTATTTTGTCTCATCCCTGTGCAGTATAGTGACATGACAGTTGTAAATGAATTGAATTGAATTTCCATACCTACCAAAATAAGGAGCTTTTTCGAGCTAATATTTATTACTCATCCTCTTTCATATTGAACCGAATGTTATGTAGTTTATAAAGAAAACTTACAATCATACTTTTCATGTTTTCTAATAACAAGCTTTGTATTTTACTGTAGAAAAATCCGTGCATTGTAGTACATATACTATACCGTAGCAACCGCAAAGGCTATTAGTTAGCTGATTTTCTTCAAAATCTCCAAATAATGAAAATGATGGGAAAGTTTCTGTTAATGAATGGATTATGTAGAATCAAGTGGGTATTTACTTCGAAAAGCTGAAATCCATTCTGTTTTCCACATTGGTACAAAAGTCCTCTTTGTTTTTATTAAGGAAATTCGTGCAAATCGTGTAACAGTAAAATAATGTAAGATGAAGTGATTTCCTGCGCGTTGTATAGAACCATGACTAGATATAGTTTTATTCTAGTGTTTCTTGTACTTTTATTTTATTTTTGAGAAAAAATGTGCAGATATTTTGTCTTTCATCAACGATAAAATCAAGCTCGCTTATTTATTTTCTTCTCCAGTTCCTTTTCCATAAAGTAAAGAGAAGCATGAGGATCATTTAATCATAACTTAAAACACTAAAACAGCAGTTGAGAGATAGTAAAAATTAGGCCAGTTGAGGAGAAAACGGTATATTGTATCCGTTATATTCAATCCACTTTGATATGCTGAGCAACGTGGATTGATCTACTGTGAAAAAAATCTCATCAGTAATGCTGAACGATGGAATGTTAGAATCATTTATCAGACTTTTAGTCTTGATGTAATTTCTATAGGTTTTCTAGATAGTCTAGTAGTCGAGCAATATTTTGCAAACATATTATTTTGGATTGGACTTTTTGTCTACAATATGTGTTGTCAGAATGTCAGCATGTTCAGATACGTTATGTGCACCACCACATTTACCACCAGATTCACCTGGTTCATCAGTCTCATCTGGATTCAAGGTACGAAATTTCTCTATTCTGTCATACGAATATATACTTTCTAAAATTTTCTTAGTATTCTTGTAAAATCTTCATTGCTATCTGACACAAAAACGGTAGTCTAGTTTGTTTTCTTTACGTTGTCTATTCAGAACGAATATAATGATATTTTACGTCGTGCCGTATTAATACCACCTTCTTATCCTCATGATTTGATGAATATGGACGAAATTTCGTCTATTCCAAATGATCGACGAACACCCATATGGAAAAGTAGTGGTTTCTTCTGATTGATTGTTCTTCCATCATTTATATTTGATGTATTTCTAGGTCAAAAATCCAATATTAATTCAATCCATTTCAATCGTCCAACACAATACCATCATAAATCTGAAAATAGTAAAAGTAAATTTGTACAATAGTTTAAAGTTTACTCCTCATTTGTGTAGAATTTTTCTATTGACTACGAGATGAGTCATTAAATTATTTGCTTTCTCCACTAGCGACCACATCTGCTATTTCCAACGCAAAACCACAGCAGCAGCAACATAAAGAAAACGCTGAAAATAATCCTACTGCAGGACGTAACGATAATATTGAACATCATCCTCTGAAATATTCAGAGTTAATTACAACGAATATGGAAACAAAACCGTTCACAGAAAATATGGATCATTGGTACCTTGACCTTAAAAATAAGTTAATGGTATGGAAGAAAGTTCATGAAAAATCGTGCATATGAAAACATGTTCATATTGAAAAATGTCTTTGTACTATGTTTCTATATAGAATAATGTGGAAAAGTTACGTTTACAATTTTTGGAAGAAGCGCAACAGACAACACTTCGTGAAAAACAAAAGTAGATAGTTATGAGATGTGAGGTATTGTTCAGTAATATTGTTTTTTCATCGTTTAGACAAGCGAAAGAATATATACGTTTAGATCAAGATATTAAGCTAATGAAAGATATGTTAACAAAATATGAGTTAACAGTTGAACAAAAAGAAGAAGCTGAAAAAAATTTGAATAATTCTCTCAGTTTACTTTGTTCAAAAACATTGCTCTATCGTCGATATTATGAATGGCGTACAGCGTATGGAAATAAACGCCGTCAAATATTCACAGAACAATTGGCTAAAGATTATTATGAACAAAAATTAAAACGTCAAATAATGTCCGAATGGAAAAAAATGATTGGACAACAATGGAAACAACAGTTTGAAGTGGCATGTGAAAAAAAAGCAAAAGATGTTTGTTTAGAAATAGGTAAAACTCTTCTTCTTATTGTTGATAGAAGTATTCAGCAAATTTTAAACTCCTAACATCTAAATTATTGTTTGTTTAGGTAATGATTATGGATTAAAATATACACAATTAGAATTACAATTAAAACAAGCAAATGAAGAAATAGCTCGTTTAAAGCAAGATCGAAATATTCAAGATGAACCAACGAAACAAGCGTTTATGAGAGGTGTTTGTGCACTAAATTTAGAAGCCATGAGTGTACTTTTGAAAAATACTTCCGACGAAGGACAACAACATCAAGATGTTAACAATAGTACAATAGATCAAACAAAACGAACAACATCGAATGAGTTATTGGTGAATAATTGTACTGTTAGACAATATTCATCCGATGAACATCCATCTACATCAACCACAACAGATGAACGATATACAAGTTTAAATAGTAGCCAGGAGAGACCATATCATTCATTCCCCACACATGTTTATAAAGAATACTTGCCAAGTACAACTTACAGAACACTTAAACCATATAGGCAACAATATGAACAAAAAGTACGCAAGATAAATTAGCAGGTCATTCTTCAAAATATAACTGTGTATCTTTAATTTTTTTTGTTTAGCGTACTAGTAGCAGCGTTAGTCATGGAAATCGTCATGTCACTTTTCGACAGCGACAAACCTATCCTTCTCGTCATCCATCAAGTGTTAGCGGCAACAGCGTTATTGTTGAACGTCATGCGCCAATTAATAGTCTTCCATCGTGAAATGTCCTTTTGTTGTTCTTATTTCGTATTCAATACAGTGATTTAGAATGTAGTTTTTTGGGGAGGTTTTAATTTTATATTTTTGTGTGGTTTCAAAATTTATCTCCGTCCATATATTCTGTATGTATGCCTTTCTGTTTATTTGCAGTATATTGTTAATTTTTTCATACGCATAGCTATACCGTTGTAGTACGTGGAGTATGTGTTTATTATAACTTATAATAGTTTATTTTACACGACTAATAAAAATTGAATAAATTTTTTTGCAGGAAAATTCTCAGACATATCTAATAATTTTTTTGTGAAATTGCTTCAACGTCTGACCAGAGTTGAGGCTTACAATTAAAATTGCTATATTTTATGCTATCATATTTCTTGTATCCACAAATGGCCAGAACTGTAGATACTAATCGCTTAGAAAGCGGCCTCATAGTGTATTATTAAGTTAGTAACAGAAGTGTGATCGGTTCGGTTTGACCTGTTCAAAAATAGAATCAGTTCGACTCGGTGATAAGCAAACGCTTATCTGGTGTTTTTCTTTGATTTTATTCTTTTGCTCTTGTAGAACAGCTGTTTTGGGTAATAATAAATAAGTGTCTGTTTATTTGTGAAACTGAAGTAAACGCAATTAAAAAGAGAAAAAGTAGGCAAGAAAACAAAAATGAGAAAGTGCTTGACTGATAAGAGAAAGCATTCTTTTCATCTTGAGTTAATTTTTAAAAAAACATTATCGGTTCAGCTCGGTTCGATTTCAGGGCATTTCGATTCGTTTCAGTCAGCTTTCAAAAAAATACGAATCGATCCTATCTCTGATTAGTAATGATCGCACTTTATTACTAAATGAGAACTTTTACACTGTTTAAAATCTTTTGTGGTACAATACTGTGCTTTTCTCATCTGAGTATAAAAAACATCAGATTATTATTATATTTGGTCTATTCATCAATATGAGTAGAAAAGCAGCCAAATGCATACTACATTAGTACCAGGGAAATAGAAAGAACAGATTCAAATTTATGTGTCGATAACAACGATGATGAATTATAATTGCTACTGTGATTATTATTTGTTACATTTATTGTTAATTAGGTTTTTAAACACAAAAATCACATATTAATACCCATAAAAAATTGACTGTCTTTTACAACGAATGGTCGAGCAATTTCATCTCAATTTCTCGTTGAGAAACAAAAAGAAGTATTATCTCATATCACATCATACTGTTATTTTAAATAAAAAAAGAAAACATCTGAAATCTTGTTTAACAGTGTATACGCAAAAAATAAAACAAATAATCATGATAAGCCTGGACTATAAATATCTATATCTATCTATCTATCTATCTATCTATCTATTCGGACATTAATTGTGTTTTAACTTGTTGAAAATTTTGATGATCAATATACGAATCACATTTGAAACAATAAAATGAATGATCCGATAAACTTAAACATATATTATGTCCACTTGTTTCATAATGTTGTAACATATGCCTTTGTTGATAACGACTACAACCAATTATAGAACATGATGAATTTAAACATACCCAATTTTCTGTTATTTCATGACATATCTCACATGGTGGTTGATGACCATCAATTTTTTGTGCTGATGTTGGTAATGTATAAGAACGATTTTCAACATGTGGACAATCTTGTTTTGGTACAACAGCAAATGGACCAATTAGATTTACGTCTTCGTCATTTCCATTTGTACCCGTTGCTGAATGTGAAGAAGTGGTTGTTGGTGCGTTGTTGTTATTTGATTGCATTATGAAAATGAATATTATGCAGTTTCAAAGATCGTTCAAAGTAACAAATGGAATATGGATGCAAAAAGTGTCTTTCGCTTCTTCTACAATGAAAATAATACAGATGAAGTAATTTTAAATAGCCTCCTTTACCAACGCTGAAAATTATCAATCACCTCTGCATTTGACAACCAGCATAAAGTACAAGTTTAAATTATACAGATCTATTTTTCTATTTATAAAATAAATATTTTGAGAACAGAAAAGGTTGGTACACGGTAAATAAAAAACAAAAAATTTAGTTTATTTTTTTTAAATCCGGTTGTCTTAGACGTTTTTCTTTATATTCATTTTTAACAAATTTTTTAAATAAATCCATAACCCTATGTTGATATTCCTCGGGTGTCTCTTGAGCACCTGTTGCCCAATAATATATATCCCAATCATTTGATGGTAAATTAATAAGACGATCATATAATATTAAATCATCATTAGACATTTCATGTAAATATTTTGATGCAAAATTACTCAATAATAAATCATTTTCTAACATACCACGTTTTCGACTTTGATACAATAGACGACGACGTTTAACATCGATTGATTCATTTTTAGGTTCAATCCATTCGATGTCGGGAGAGTAATTATCCGTTTCTTGAACAATGTTTGATTGATTTACTATTGAACGAGAGGATGATAATAATAATGATGTATAACGACATACTAATGATGAAACAGAACGTACACTTAAAATATTCATTGTACTTCTATAATATTAAACAAAATTAATAATATTCTTCGTTTGAAGTTAAATTTTGTCACTTGTATAAAATTAGTGAATTCGTGAAAGTAAAAATTTGAGATCTCTGGAAGTTTCATCTGATTTTTTTTTTGTCTTCAAACACTTTAGTTGTTCCAAGATGATAAAAAAAATGTTCATTATTGTCTTTTATACATTCTTCTTTTTTTATATTACAAAAAATGAACTTTGATTCTGCAAATTCGATGCATACAAGTAAAAAAAGTATGTCTTTGTACAGTAAATTATAAGATTTACGAGAAAAAATTTACAAATGTTATTCGAAACTATAAATGACTAGTAATAAATAGAAATAGACATTCTTTTTTTTATTATAAAAATAGCTGATAATATGATGTAATAGTACTCCTTGAAAAACGTATCCCTGAGTTAATCGTACGTTTTATAATTGTTTTTTTATGATGATTTGATTGTTTCTTCATTTGTTTTTCGTTTCTCTCCATTTCGAAACAATAGTGGACACATACCAAGCAAACAACCAACAAAAATACAGATAATTTTTGACTAAAACAAATAAACAAGACATAAAGATTAAGGTTTTAGTACATTTCTTTCAACCATGCTGATTTAAGATGCTGAAAATTCAAAGAAATAGCAAAACAATTATTCTATTTTATTATACATGGTTGAATAGAGCACATCGAGCCGATTTAGAATATGTACCCTAATGAAGCAGATACAAATACATTTTCTGTCTTCAACTTTGTAAAAATATATGGTACTTAGATTTTTGTTCTTTCTTGTCCTTTTTCAAGTAAAAAAGTGAAAATACTTTCAATTTGAATAAAATTCAAATTTCTATTCTTATTTCTAAGTTAAGTTTCTTTTATAGAAGAAAATTGATCGACAGGTGTAGAAATCTCGAAAAACGTTTTAGTTTCTAATTTTCATCATTTTTGTTCGTCTAACTTTTTGAAAGTATTTTTTTCAGATTCAGTATTAAAAACTGAGTATAGATGTGATGTTCGATCGACGTTGAAGTCAAAGGTCTATCCAGTATGGGCATTGTCGACTTTTCTGTAAAAAGTTCATAAACAAATTTGCAAATCGATCTAGGTTTTTTGTGTGAAGAGACGAAGCCGACATTTTTCACCATCAGAACTCGCCATTTATGCAGTAAAAATATCATATTCAGAATCTGCGTCAAACACTGAGTCAAACGATATACTTTTTTTCCTATCCGATGAACTTTGAATTCAAATGCAAAGAATTTACTTTTGGACTAAATTGTCCAAAAGTAAACTCTGAGGTGTTCTCATCCCCATCCTGTGCATTGCTATAGTGTGTTCTACTCTCGCTGCTCAACCCATACAGCTTATATCCTTGATCAGCGACCAAAGCCTGCATACTCTGTGATGAGTTATAGAGAGAATTAAGAGAGACATTACATCACAGAACAGTCATTCGTTATCATCGTTACTATATCGTTGTTTGCTCAGATTTTAGCAAAAACAGACTCCACTTAGAACAGCAGCATATATGAATGGTTTCTTTTAAAAAGGATTCTGTAATATTATCAATATTATGCGGAATCAACCTATGCAGAAACCATACAGATTTTTTTTTTCTCTTACCAATAACTGCGTAATGTGTACTGCTCTTGATGCCCATTGTGAAACATTTAGTTTTGGCGGATTAATGCCAAACATAGTTAAAAATCCACCAGCTAAGCGTTCAATACGATCAGCGAGACCAATTCCAAACACATCCGACACAGCATTGCCAAGAGCCGCAGCTAAAACAGACATTCTGTTCATACTAAATTACCATAGTGTTGAAATTCAGTAAAAAAATATTTGAACAGATCGAAGTCAACTCTCTGTTTCTAACAATGAAAAGTAATTATTGTAGCAACGAAGAAACAAAAATGAAAGAGTGATCTACTAATGCTATACTAACATATATATTTATTTTTGGAAAGATACCACGAGCAATACAGTTGTAAAATAAATAATAAATATGAATTTACCAGCCATTGTTGATAAGCAAAAGGCGGCACCAAAAAATGTTTCAATTGTATCACCCTAGATAATAAGTACAAAGCTTGCATGATTTTATGAGAAATTTGATAAATAAAACCTTCTTACGGCCACAAGCATAATAAAATTATCAACAAAACCAAAACCTAAATATGGTAAGCCAGTTTCAATAAAAACTGAAAAAAAAATAATAACTATGAAATATCAGAGTGATTCTACAAACAAACGAACACATACCGACAGCTAACTGTGATGGAATAACTTTCGTAGTATCAATTGGCTGTGTTTTTTCTATTTCTATTAAGTGTTCTTGTAATATACGACGATGCTCTGCAATAAAGGCGAACTTGTAATCAAGCAATCATATTTCTCGTTTTTTTGTGCTTACCTGGTTCCAAAGATAACACAAAATCGCGTGCCAATTCTTGCATATCATCTGCTGTTTCATTTTTTGAATAATGTGCATGTGTGGTCATTGTGGCTGCTGCTTGCGTTAATGGTTTCAATCGTCGACGTGAAAACATGAAACGAGCAATTTTCAATGAAAACCGTGATGATGAACGAAAATAATGATCGAATGTTGGGGGTGAAGTGGATGTTGTTCTTGTTAATAACGGAGAACAAGGAAATATCGAATTGGAAATTGCTAAAAGACTGGCATTCGGAGTATAATAAGAAAGTCGGAAAGGAAAATAAAACAAACGAAACATCTAAAACGGCTATACATGTGCAGCTAATATAAATTTCAGCAACAGTATGAAACACGCATAGTTCAAGCTGTTTCATTTTTATTCGTAGATATATTCAAAGCTGACGTAATCTGCTTCAGAAGAGATTATTAAAATGTCTTCAATATCATCTCGATGTAAGCCTCAGCCAGAAGGAGAAATTCTATAAGAAGAAAACGATGTGCTTTTCTAGTGTGTTTGAAAACACAAAATACTTTTGTACTTCAATAATAATCACTATCTGAGATGAAAAGAGAGAATATATTATAATTGTTTCTAATGCGAATTTGTAATAAAGTGTACTTATATACTTTATTTTCAAAACCAAACTGTTATGTAGCAAATTTATGCAAAACTGCTGTTTGGTACATGGAATTTTTACCACCATAACTGTTACGCTGAAAGCAAAGAATCATGCATATGGATAGACGAAGAAGTGTTTAAGGGATCCCTTTAATTAATTACATTAAATTGCAATAAAGAAGTAAAAAACATGAATAATAGATCGATTGCTTCATCACTATTCGATATACACAGAACAAAAGAATTGTAAACGTTCAAGGACTACTAGAAAATAAAAGTATATATCATCATAGATAAGTATATATCTTTTGTTTTCTAGCATAACAAAGCGTGAACTCAAATTTGCAGTTGTTAAGTACACTGTATAGTTGTTGTGTATAGTTTATTTGTTATTTGTACATCTGAGCTACTCACTTTGAGTTTATGACATTAGAGAACATCCAAAACTGTAAACTTTCATCCAGAGAATACCAGAAAAGCTGCTGTAGACGAATAATAGAAGACCACGATGATGTCACAAATTAACGCTTCGTATTCAAATAGAGATTCAAACAAAATCCAGACAACATAATTATACAGTTTTTCAAATCCTATTTAGACGTTCCTTTTCGAATGATCGAGAGACAAAGTAAATCAATTAGGCTTTTTTTGTCGAAGAAAAATTCAATTAGTCTTCAAAATGTGTACTAACTACAAAAAGTCAAAAATAAAAATATAATCAATATCAAATAAAAATCAATGAAACTACACTCGTACTATCTGAGGGACAGATTAATAAACATCAAGAAGTCAAGATCTTATGAACTTCAATATTTCGGATGAATAATTATTCCACTTTCATGTATGACAGCTATATTCATGATAGTCACGAGAAGCGGTGAACAAATATTTTTAGTTTTGACTGTGTATAAAAAATTTTCATGGCATTTTTCCCTTGTGACATAAAATAAAAGGTAAGCAATATACAGTGAGCATGTGTCAATTTTATTGTAAGACTAATTGATTTACATTGTTTTTTACACATCATTTTTACACTTTTACATATTCATGCATGAATGGTTTGACGCACGATTACAAGGAAGAATATTAAGTCCACGACTATATGAATAATATTCACGTTTAATTAAGAATGAAAGTTTTTGAATTACTGTTCGATTCATGTATGATTGAATGTGAAAATATTTATGGAACAATTTTTAGATCAGAAGAGATTATTTAATTCAGACTAAATGTGAAAAGTTTAATATATACACAAGAACGAAAGAACTATAATATGAAAAGGAAACTGTACAGATACAAATAGACATAGACAATTTACTACTAAAATAAATACTCATACTCATTACTCACACTAGTATTGAAAGTAGAGATGAATACTTCTTAATTGATGGTACTTTAATTTGCTAAGATGAATAAAGATAGAGTAAATTCACAGTGAACACTATATTTTTCAAAGTATGGTAGATGAAATAACGTTCGCGACATATATCCTCGTGGAAAAAAATAGTTGCACACAGTATTTTTAAGATATTTTACTTACGAAAATATACTTTTACAAAAATGATCACATATTCTGATAGCGCTTGGAATTCTCTACAATTCTGTATATTTAAATCTGGTCTTGCATTTATTTGCTGAAAAATACATTGAGTGCAATGACGGCCCCCTCATCGTCAGATTCCCACGGACTGCATTTCGTTATTATTTCTTCAACTTGCTTTTTTTCAATTTATCATCACTACAGAAATTGCTTTTTATAAAAGTAATTATATATTCTGATAGCGCCTAAAATTCTCTATCATCCTATATATTTATGTCTTGTCTTACATTTATTTACTGAAAAATAATTTGAGTACAGCGAAGGTACCCCCAATTGACAAGTACCAAAAAGGTGCATTTTTTCGCTACTTTTTTAGTTTTTTCCACACCATCTGTTCTAAAAGATTTTTTACAGATCACAAGAAAGAGCACATTCAGAAGTACAAAAAGAACTGACTTCTCACTTTTGCAACCCTTTTTTTACGGAAATAGTAGCAAAAAGAAAAGGTTCAGGTGGAAAAAAATGACAGATTTTCAAAGTTTTCATTTTTTTCGTCTTTCGTATAATCTGCATAGTTTTCTTGATTGAGTTCTAAAATTAAAGGTTAGGTATGGTTTTTCTAGAGCATTTCGCGGCGCATCTTTTTAAAAAACATTAACCTTTGGGTCCTAAAGAAACACGAGAAAAATAGAAAATATTGAGATGCCACACTCATTACAATTTCTGGGAATCTGATGATGAGAGGACCGTCACTGCACTCAATGTATTTTTCAGCAAATAAATGCAAGACCAGATTTAAATATACAGAATTGTAGAGAATTCCAAGCGCTATCAGAATATATGATCATTTTTGTAAAAGTATATTTTCGTAAGTAAAATATCTTAAAAATACTGTGTGCAACTATTTTTCCCCACGAGGATATGTACGTACACTTTAGAAAAATATATCAAAAAGAATAAAAATAAGATGAAAGATATCAGAAGATTACATTGCTATATAATAAGTGTAGAGTGGAACTATAATGTTGGAAAGTGTCAAAACTTACTTCCAAAAACTGTAGATACACCGTCGAGATCTTTCTATTAGACTATACTCTACCATTTCCATTCTTCTCGTTATCTCATGTTGAACTTGACTCATTAAAAATAAAGAATACATGTTTCCATTCAAGTTCAAGCCTTCATTGCGTGTAAGTGTAGCTTTTTATCCGGCTAATAGATATTTTATTTTGCAAAAACATAAATGCCATGAAGTTGTTTTACAACTATTGTTTTGTCCGGATTATTCTACTCTAAAATATTGTGTCATCACAGTAATTGTTTTTCGTTAAGTTTCTACATATAAAACATGATAAATATGATAAACGACAATGTATTACTAATTAACAATTATCTGCAAATAATAAACAATGCCTTACATTGATAGTAGGAATAGTCATATATTCAATAATGAAAGTAAAGAATGAATTCCAAAATTGAGAGCTATTCAGATCCATATCGTCGTGTTCATTGCAACAATTTTTTGAAAATTAAAACAAACAAACAAAAACATAACTGTTGTAAGTAGATTAAAACACGAAAAACTCTAAGCAATAGAAAAGAAAAACGATAGAAGCAGAAAAGTTATTTCATTTTTTCACATAATAATAAAATTAAAACATTCATTGCACTATACCAGCATCTTCTAATTTTTCAGGTATCTCTCAAAAATTCATCAACATCATCATCATCAAATTGAATATCATCCTAAAACAAGTACATTCAAAGTAATGTTTTGTAACTAAATTCATGTCAATTCTAAACTAATAACTTCTACACTGTTTTATCTTCACTAAATCTAGAGTTCAACAAGAAATTTTTCATTTTTCATACTATCAGAAGTTTGAATGTTGTTCTTATAACAAATTTTATCATTTCTATTAATAAGAAAGAAGTACTCTGATAGATATTAAAGTCAAATACCAAATATCATTCAAAAAATCTACTAGTAATGGATATTTTTATTTAAAAAATTGAGCAAACTATATGGCATTCTAAACAACCGTGCTTCTACACTACTGCTATCAAGAAAGTATAGCCAACTATATGTAGAAATCTAGCTGAATAACAAGACAAGATGATAAGTTATACTCAAAAACAAAACAAATATAAAGAAATATATTAGCGAATCTTAGGCCTATATTTGACTATATTTTTTAATCTTCAAACAGAAGAAGATTCTCGAGTCTAAAATTTCTCTGATGTTGCTAGTTATATTTGCAGTCTTACGTAAATGTTCTGCACAAATTGTTGAACAATAAAAATTTGTTCCGTTCAAATAGAGCTATTCGCCTACGTATATATAGAGATTTTATCGATAAACTTCTTTCATTGCTTTCTTCCTTGTTTAAAATATATTGTTCAGCGAGAAAAATTAATAATTTTTTGGATATAGTTTCTTTCCAAATGAAATAATTACTCTAGATTACATTTTACTAGCACACGAATTAATTATTGCACGCCATACTTAAACTGTGAGTAACCTATAGACTGCTGTTCTGAAATATATTATAGTATCCAAACGTTTTCATCATTCAAAATGTGTTGATACATTCTTACTTTTCTTTTCTCAACATATTTCTAGCAGACTTTCACGTTTCTCTACATCTATAACGTACATCTATAACTCAAAAGAAGAAGCTACTCATTTATAAAAAGTAGGAAAAGGATCAATACCTGTGGAATATTTATACTCAAGAAGAAAATTCATGCATTTTGAACTAAATAATAATCCTCAACTATATTGATTAGTTAAAATTACCATGCTATAGATATTAAAAACGTGCGTTATGTTAACTATAAATGATGCCATGCTTTATTTCATATTTTTTGTTTTGTTTTTGTGTTACCTCAACATTATCATCCCGTTTTACTCCGTCTGCAACTCGTTTTTCTGTTTCTGTTTCACTATCATCGCTTACATCATCTTTCAAATCAATATCAAAGTCTTGTAATTCTTTTTCTAAATCAGTTAGTGAATCTTTTCGCGCCGACGTCGTCGTATTAGATGATTTTTGTACGGCTGCTGTAGGTGTTTGTGTTTTTAATGTTTGTAGCGTTGAACTTTTGGTCGAAGCAGTTGTCGAAGACGAAATAGAAGTTGAATTGATTGGCAATTGTGAACGAAATGAAGTTGTTATTGACGATGATGGGATTGGTGGAGTTAATTTATTGCTAGATGGAGTGGTAGTAGAAATATTCGTCTAAAAGAAAGACATTTGTACTCAAACGTAACCTTTTTTCTTTCGATTGTTTACCTGCGGAGGAGCAAAAGTGTTCGGTATTACTGATGATTGTTGTTTTGGTATTTGTAGTGGTAGCTGTGCTGTCATAGTTATTGGTTTGTCAGTCGTTGCATCATCAAACTCGTCGTCTTCTTCTTGATTATCATCATTTTTTCCTACCGAACCGTAAAAAAAGTCACCATTATTTTCTGCTTCTTTCATTTCAGTAATTGGATGCCGTTCCCAGTTCGGCTAGAAAAGAAAAGAGATTAGGATAGTGTTGATCACTAGACATTTTTATTATTATTACCGTAATTATTTGATAATCTGTGGCTAACATTTGTTTTTTGTTTGTTTTTAAATACTGTTCTGTTTTATATGTATCAATTAAACCTGGAAACAAATTTTCATAATCTGTTGGATTAGCAAGGGCTTGTGCTGAACGTTCCATATTTGATTTTTTTAATTTTTCACGCCATAATTGGACAGTCATGCCAATTTTTGATGGTAAATATGTTCGAGAGAAAAATGCCGCTTCGGATAAACGATTATTATCAATTAAAATTTGTAAACATTTATCTAAATCACCCAAAACAAAATTGGCTAAAAATGACATATTAAATTGACCACTTTTTAGTGATTGTTCGCCAATTTTTTTCATCAGTTGTTTGTCACTACTAGCACTTGCCAATAAAATGAGTGAACCATAGGCTTGTGCACGATTTAAACATTCTTGTACTAATTGAAAATCACAACGTTTTGTTGCTAAATCAGCTAATTGTATCCATTTTTGTTCATTTTCCATTTCTAGTGCTAATTCGTGGCATATTTGCAGATTACCCAAATGTAATGCTAAGTCAAATTTATGTTCATTATCCAGTGTAACAGCCAGTGCTTGTTGCCGATAACCCTAGAAGAAAGCAAATTGATTAGTGTTTGTCAGTCTGTTAGTGATTTTGTTATATCTAAAATTATCTTGGTACTATATCTATTCTTGCAATAGCGCACTAAAAGCTTCAAATTTTATTGTAACTAACAAAACTCGATTGATTGAACTAACTAACCTGTTTTTCTAAGAAATGTGCTACACGTGTTCGTTGTTCTTTTGGTACGGTGGGTAAAACTTGGTCAGCTGTTTCAAAATCTTTTCGCATTACAGCTGTTTGATATTCAAGTACAGCCAATGACAACTCATACGAAACAATAGTCATTTCTTTATCACCCAAATATAAACGATTTTCAGTGGATACATAACCCAATAAATACATGACTCTAAATAGAAAGACAAAGAAAAGTTCAAAAACCAAGAATGAAAATCTTTAATCAAAAACTCAATGATCTCGCACTTGTCAAAATCTGTTCAGATGTTATTTATTTGATAGCTGAACATTTCAAATTCTGATTCTGCTTCACAAGTCACTGACATTTTTGACGTTCCAAACTATTCGATTTTTTTTCTTTTTACCGATCTAAATGTGAAATTGTCACAATTTCTCCTCCAACATAATAATTAATACGATTTAAAGAATTTGTATAGATAAAACAATCACCAATCCACATTCCAGTTTTAACAATTTCTTGTATTTCATTTAATGCCTATAGTAGAAGAATAACACAAAAAAAGAACCAAATAAGAGAACAATAATCATCCGTACAGACTAAATACATACATCAAAGGCATCTTCGACACCATCATCTGATATTAAATCTTTATTAGTCGCTGCGGCTGTTATTGCTTGTGGATTATAACGTAAAATATAATACGATTCTTCTGTATCTATACACACTAATTCATTATTTTGAGACCAATATATCTAAATATATTTATTGACTGAAAGTCATAAGCAGTTAATTACAAGAATAGAATGTTTACCGTTTTTGGAACAATTTCAATTCGTCGTACTAAAGTCGTTGTATCCCAATCGTAAAATGTTAAACCCGTGTATGATTTGATACCAAGCAATGAACCACCAAATATAGCTTGAAAAGAAAAGTTGAAAAACATGTTAAGAAAAGCGTATGTAGATCAGTGGTTCAAATGGTTCTTGAGCCAAAACAAAACGGAGAATATTTAAATCCCATAATATCATTCTATTACTTACACTATCAAAACACAAAAATCAATCGTTAAACATTTTAGATGTACAATTGTAATTGTTTAGAAATATCTTTTTATTTTGACAGTAATATTATTCTTTTCAAACATTTAAATAGAAAGCTCTTAAACAGAAGAATTTTTTTAGGTACCCATTCCGTGATGTTTTTTGCCTATGTCTCAGTGTGAGCACAAACATTTTAAAAATCAAGTGAGTAACCATTATACCAAATATATTTCTATAAAAAAAAACTTAAAGACTTTCTTTCTCTCATTAACTTACTAATTGACATAGCTCCTAAAATAGCATCTTATATAGCTAAAAGAACATAAGGCTGATAACAAATATAGCTCATGATGACCTATATTCAAGCTAGAGAATGCTGGTTTCTCTTCTTCCATGACTATACATGTAAAGCAATTAATTATTTACCTTCAGCGCCTGATTCTGGTTTAAAACTTTTTTTTTCTTTAAAATTTTTAAATATTTTCACTATATTTCCATCTCGAATAGCATATTCAGATGAATCATGTGACCAAACAAATTCCATTGCATTTCCATAACTTTTGTTTCTCAATGTTATAGCTGTGTAAATAATATATTCTCCATCACCACAAACAACAACAAATCTACAAGAAAAGGTGATATTAATAAAAGAAAAATAGGCATATAAGAATCCTTACCGTCCATTTGGCGAATGACATAATGTTTGCGGATATATTTCACAACTACCCATTTCTTTTACACTCAATGGTACTTTTTCACCATCTTTTAATTCTTGTTCACTACTCAATTGTTTTAAATTTACTTGTTGCATTTCACAATGTTTAGCCCAAACAATTTTGCCGGTTGATGAATCCATGGACATTGCTGGCTCTTCACGACCAAGCTAAAATATAATTATGTTGTAGGGTGTTACTCAGTAATTCAAGTATGTTACTTTGATCATCATTGTTCCTTCATCATAGCCCAATGCCACATTATTTGAACCTTTTAAACATGATATTGTCCAACAACGTTCCATACCATAATTCAATGTTGATTCTAAACGATAAGTATTCGAGTGCCATAATTTCACTGTGCCATCTTCTGATCCAGATAAAATAATTGGCAATTCTCGGTGAAATGCAACACATCCAACATTCTGTGTATGACCCTCTAATGTCTGAACACACGTTTTATTCTATATCGAACAAAAAAAAGTTGCATTATAAACTATTTCAGCTATGATCTTTTTCACACCTGATAATCCCATATTTTAACAAGACGATCATCACCACCGGAAGCAAGATATGGTTTATCACCACCAGAATAATAATCAATACAGTTCACACCTTTCTCATGACCTTCCAGTGTAAAATTTGGTTGTGATGAGCCTAATTGCCACACCTGTAAACGCAATAAAGAGCTATATTTCACCGTGCAGTTACAATTTAAAAAACTTACTTTGACTGTTCTATCGAGTGATGCTGATGCAAACGTATTGTTATCTTTTGGATTAATGGCGATTTGCATTACATAATGAATATGTCCTTCAAATGTTTGTTTCAATGCCCATTTAGCATCCCAATCCCATAATTTAATTGTCATATCATCTTGAAAAAACGCAACGAAAGGCTTCCATACACTTGAAAGTCGAACAGAAAACTTACCGCTACTAGTTAAGATGTACGATTGTGTAGGATGCACAGCAATCGAACGAATATAGTCACTGTGTGCTTCAAACTGATGGAGACGCTCTAAAGTATTATAATTGTAGACACGTATTAACATATCATCCTAGAACAAGCAATCAATATACAGTCATCTGTTACGTAGTTTTCCAGTGAGAGGCTTACGGACGCTGTGATAGCCCAATTTTTTCTAACAACAAATTTTCCAGCACGTACAGGTACATCACAGATTTCAAATGTTTTAATTAATTGCTAGAAAAAAAGAAACGTCATTTAAGAAAAAACTGAAGATAAATCCATCGTTTACTTGTGTATCGTGATTATAAATGTGTGCATGTCCATTATAAAGTGTTACTAGTAACCACGGTTCATTTGGATGTATATCAACACATTTAACGCGATCAGATCGAACAGACAACTTTCTTTTGACATCCAAGCGTAATGGCTAAAACAAAAACTTCCTGTCAGCGAATAAATCATCAGGATTTTTGTTATGGCAAGTCCGTACCATTCTCTTTCTGAATTATAGACTAAAATAGAATAAGAATATCTGAAAAAAAATGGACGTGTGAACATTCATATGCGTGTTTCCTGCATGCGCACAGTCTTCTTATGAACAGTGTTAGAGGCAAATAGGGTGCCGTTCATGAGTGGTTTTCTATGTAATCAATTCCCTTGTCCGTTGGCATACCACGTCTGCAATGTTTGCGTATAAATCCATAATTCACCAACATCTACTTTGCAGCTAATAGACCAGGTAGAGTGAAGGTGCCGTTAATGTACATAAAATTTGACTTCAAAAGCTCTCGCGTGAATGCTCTTTAGTATGTACAAACACGCATGCCGAAAGCTGCTTGCGTGCAGTCTGAATATGATTTGGAATTGGAAAGATGGCAGCACATAAATGACAAGTGTTATTCGCGATTTTATTGAAAAACATGACGATTTAATATTAGATTGTGTGTATATGGACGCAATCTTTTCAGTTCATTTAAGGAAAGGGATCCTAGAAAATGGTATTTCTCATTGTTAGAAATTACCTGCTCTATCGCCTTTAAGATATTTCGTTTAGTCAATGAAAGTACAACAGTATTTAACATTTTAACAGTATTTAACACTTTGACAGATATACTTATTACTCGGTGTTACTTTACCAACCAAAGTAACAAGAATTTGTTACTTGTTACTAGAAATTAGTAACAAAAGATGCTAGTTTGTTACTAGTAACAACGTAACAAATTAGCATCTGTTGTTACTAGTAACAGTAATGATAAACAGCCGGTTCTATTGACAGATACGAATCTTTTTTCCGTTTCTTTTTCAAAGGAGGGGGCCAATTTTCCTTGCTGTTGGCCCACTGTTTTTTCGACTTAATTTTGATCAGATTTTACAGAGAAAACGATTCTACACATTTTTCAGTTCATCTGAGCCTTTAGAATCTTACACTGAATTTTTTTAAATTAATTTTTCTGAAGTGGTGCATAATAGATATCAGTGCTTAACAAACACGAATTTCTTCAAAATCTAATATGAAATTACGCTAATGTAGAAAAATTGCTAATTAAAAACTGAACAAAATGGTATATGAATCATAGTTAAGTATCATATTACCAAAGAGAAATAGTTTATTTTCGAACACTTTCTCTATAAGCAAGAGAGGTTGCAACTATTCTTTAGTATAGACGATTAGCGCTTGAAAAGTTCTACAATATTCTGAATAAACAAACCCTACGTATCATTGGTTCAGTGGAAAAAATTCATTTTTTCTAAATCGGGCAAAAAAGTCGGAATTCTCTCCATAGTTCCCAGGTTTCTCTATCAGAACTCAACTTTTATGCAATAAAAATATTATATTTAGAATCAGCATCAAAAACTGAGTTGAATGATGATGTATGTTTCGAATTCTTTCATTAGAATTCTAGCGTGTAAGTCTTCTTTTTCTGTATGCCGCATATCCATATCCGAATGTAATATTACCGTTTAGTGTATCTTTATCTGTTTCTTGATGTCGCATACAGATTATGCTTTCTTTTCTGTATGTATCCTTATGTCTGACATACAGATATCTGCATGCGACATCAAGAAAAAGATAAAGATACGTTAAACGGTAGAGCTCTATTAGGAGACATTAGAGCTCTACCGTTTAACGTATCTTTATCTTTTTCTTGATGTCGC